GGCACAAGCCATCACTCAAATCACACAGCTACCATTTCCATGTGGAATCTTGAGACCGGCTCTCCCAAACCATTCCCACCTCTCCCCCACCATCTTTCAATCCGTTCTAGTGTCTCTCCAATCTGTGGTCTCCAAATTGTGACTGTATACCCCTATCAATGAGAACAATTTTAAGCACACATCTGCAATCTACAGATGTTTACTCGATTTTAGGAACCTGTGTTCTCTAAAATAAGTGTGTGGGTTTTTTTTTTAAATCTCAGCCTAACCAAGGACAAAAGTACAATTTATATATAATAAATGCTTGACCAAAAAAGGTCTAAATAAAGTCTTTAAAAATTCCATTTCCTCATCCAGGCCCCAGAGACTGGGCAGTTGAATGGGACAGAATGGAACTTAACTGCCTGGTAACAGTGCCTGTAACAGGGTAAGTTCAGTTCAGCCATTCAGCCATCATTGCTAAGAGGCAGACTCTGGTGCCTGATGCCTGGATTTGAAATCTCACTCTCTCTGCTACTTACTGTATAGACTCAAGGCAAGATAATTAACCTCTCTGGGGATAATAGAGTAGCTGAGCTAAAACAAATACAGATCTTAGATAAGTATTTGGAACACAGTGATATATATATTATTATTATTACCACATCTGGATTTAGTCCATGAATTTAATCTAGAATAGCTGCTCTTGGGTAGGTTAGCAAATTCCCTTCTGACACAAAAGCTGGCCTCTTACCTCAAATATACTCTGTGGATAGAAATTATGTTTCTAGCCAATAGGATGGGCTCTTTTTGTCTCAAAAATAGAATGCATGAAGACAGAGGCAAACTGCAGGTTGAGAGTACGTTATCTGCTATGCAGTCAGTCACCAGATTAGCTCAGTACTATAAAAGAATGAGATGAGGGGACTGCGGTGGCTCCGGCCAGTTGTCCTGGTGCTTGAGGAGGCAAGGCCATGAGTTCAAGGCCAACCTGAGCAACGTTACAAGCTCTCATTGATTAACAAAAAAAAAAAAAAAAGGTCGGGTGCGGTGGCTCACGCCTATAATCCCAGCACTTTGGGAGGCTGAGGTGGGTGGATCACAAGGTCAAGAGATCGAGACCATCCTGGTCAACAAGGTGAAACCCCGTCTCTACCAAAATTACAAAAATTAGCTGGGCATGGTGGCACGTGCCTGTAGTCCCAGCTACTCGGGGGGCTGAGATAGGAGAATTGCCTGAACCCAGGAGGCGGAGGATGCAGTGAGCCGAGATGGTGCCATTGCACTCCAGCCTGGGTAACAAGAGCGAAACTCCTTCTCAAAAACAAACAAACAAACAAACAACAAACAAAAAGAATGAGATGAACTGAGAAATCTAAGTAGATGTTCTTTGCTGCCTGTGGCTGCCCTTGGGTAGAACAGTCTCTTTAAACTAACTCTATCATAACATTGACCAACACTACTCCAGCTAGGTTGGTAAATAGTACCTTGCAGTCCTTTACCCCTCAGCTTGCTTCTCCATCATAGCAAAGTTCTCAAACTGTACACACTCTTAAGCATCCAAAACAGTCTGAGAAGCACTCTCTTCCACTCCAACCCATTTTTGGTGAATAGAAAAAAAAAAAAACCCAAACTTCAATCAACAATCTATTGAAAATCAATGCTAAGGTTAAGGCTTTCAATGTCCAGCTTCCACCTGCTTCTTTCAAGGCTGGGTTACATAATTTAGTAGGAAGTAAGTAAAGGGTAGTACTTGCAGTTCTTTCATCCAGTTTTCTGCTGACAAGAGGTTCTTAGACTTCCAATGTCAATAGAACAAACTCCTTAGTTCTACAACATTATGAAACTAGTTTGCTTAGCCCCATTTCTCACTTGAGGAAATCCCACCCCAGGGAAGGTGGGTGTAGAGTGGAACACAAAAACCTTTTGATGTGGGTGCTGAAGTTTTTATATCATATTTCCCAATTCAAAAGTAAATTAAAAATCTGTAGCTGAAACCCTCCTTCCCTTTAAAAACTTCTTCCCATGGGTGTACTCCTGCTTTTTACAAATGAATAGAACAATTTCTGAATTTATTTCCTTTCTTTTTTTGGAAACCCAATGTGGCTCACAAAGATCCATGTTTCCTACCACTTACTGGGTGTGAGATCGTGGGCAAGCTACTCTATGTGCTTCACTTTCCTCATCTGTAAGATAGCTTGTGCCGGGTGCGGTGGCTCACGCCTGTAATCCCACCACTTTGGGAGGCCAAGGCGGGTGGATCACGAGGTCAAGAGATGGAGACCATCCTGGGCAACATGGTGAAACCCCGTCTCTACTAAAAATACAAAAAATTAGCTGGGCATGGTGGCACGTGCCTGTTAGTCCCAGCTGCTCAGGAGGCTGAGGGAGAATTGCCTGAACCCAGGAGGCGGAGGTGAGCCAAGATCGCCCCACCGCACTCCAGCCCGGATAACAAGAGCAAAACTCCATCTCAAAAAAAAAAAAAGATATTGTGACAATGGAATGAGTTATTAAAATTAAGAGTGTCTTCATCTACACGCTGGCCACTAAGTTTAACGGAGGGAAAGGCAGTAATTGAAAGCGATAATAGCTTTCAAGTGCCAGTTTCCTAAATCAATGAATAGCATTTAACTGTTAATAGGCCAGCAGTCTATTATTCCTTAATCAATCCTGTCCCCTAATCCCCAACTTTGCTTTTGCCTCAACATGAATGTTTACGACATAGGGGGAAAAGTATATATTCCATCTATGTTTTCAACACATTTCATTGAGCAGTTACTATTACCTGGGCACTGGCTATAAAGCAGCAAACTTACAGAATCACCTTTGCAAAAATCATAACTGAGGAAATTATGTCAGGAAAAGAAATCAGACCTAACCTACCCCATCTTCCTTCTAACCTCTAAACTGTCTTTGTTCATTCCTGGGTGTAGGCTGAATTAGCTTTGGAGAGGAATTTATAGTTTAAACTCTGAAAGGAAATGGATAATAGCCCTTTCCTGAAACACTCCTTGCCTGGGAAGAAGTCTACCTTTGTAGGACTAACAGATTAGCTACAAGGGTAGATACCCCGATTTAAGGATCATGCAACCTCTGGCTACAAGAGTCTGAACATCCCCAAACTGCTCCTGGTAATAGTATCATTATCGTAAAACCTAAGGTCAGTGCTTGAGATACTTTGCAGACCCTGCATTCCGATGCAGCAAATGACACCACCCAGAAGTCAGCAAGAAGAACTGACTTCGACCCCCTATGATTTTATCTTCAACCCAACCAATCAGCACTCGCCACTTTCCGAGCCCATACTCACCAAATTATCCTTAAAAACTGTATTGAAAGTCATATTATAAAAGGTTTGCTTTCTTTAAGTGTTATTTATCTTAAATTATAATCGTTGTTCGGAGGGTAATTTTTGAATCTTAAAGTCAGCATAACTTCATTTGACTTCTCAATAATCTTGATACTAGAAGCAATAAAATAACCACTATAAAAAATAAAATAAAACAAAAAACTCTGATCCCCGAATGCTCGGGGAGACTGATTTGAGTAACAATAAAACTCCGGTCTCCCTCACAGCCAGCTCTGCGTTTATTATTCTTTTCGCCATTGCAAATCCCCTGTCTTGATAAATCGGCTCTGTCAAGGCAGTGAGCAAGGTGAACCCATTAGGCGGTCACACTTACTCTGGTTTCCCATTCTGCTACGTGACTTTAGGTAGGGTACCCAACATCCCTGGAATTCAGTGATTCACTATATGATCTCCGTGCTTCCTTTCCACTCACAGATCTTACAAATCAGTTTCATGCCTCTTTCATTGATAGCTGTATCTCTCCACCTCCAATTCTGAACAAAATTGCTCGGGTTCTGTTCCGACAATTCTATAGACTCGACTCAGTGAAGGCACTCAGAATTTCTACCACTGTTGTATTTTCCAACAAAGATTCCAACCACAGCGGCGAGAGGGAGTTATGTGTCACAAGCTGTGATTAGAGACACAATGAAATTTATGCAAGGGAAACCTGATTAAGAATCACAAGATTCCATAGCTAGCCCAAAGGAAGTGCTATTTATAACAATAAATGATGAAAAAGGGAAATTGACTTTTGACTTGTCAGCAAAAGGGAAATTAAAAGAAAAGCAAAGGGAGTTGGCAGGGGGAGGTGGGATTCCAAGATGCAAAGCATAAATAAAAAGAAGTTCTGTGTACCACTCCTCCACCGGCGCTGGATACAGCTCTTCTGTTGTCTGCCCTACAAACTTTAGGAAACCTCAGCAAAAGGTCCCCTTCCTGGAGTTTCAGGAACTCCAAAACATGTGTTCTAAGCAAAGAGACAAAGTTGTGTGCGGTCGGGTTTCATGAAGGCCGGCGCCTTCTCCACACACCCAGCCCACTCCAGTTAGGGTCCACGGCTGAGTCTGGCCGCCCGAGGGACCCGCCTAACCCAGCCCGGGGGGTCTCAGCGCGGGGGTCCGACGGGGGCTTCCGCAGAGGACGCAGGAACCTCGGGGCGGGCCTGGGGCTCACCGCAGTCCAGGAAATGCACTGGTTCGGCCTGGGCGGCTGCGCTGAACACCAGGAGCAGGAATGTAGCGGCCAGGAAACTCATCGCGGCTAACGAAGTTCCAAGCTCGGAAAAGAAGCTCCAGCCGCGCGCGGTCACAAGACAAACCTGTGGGGGCGGGCCCGGGGAGGAGCCTAGTCAGGCGACCTGTCACCAGTAACCGTGGCTGTCGCCCGCCCGCGCCCCGCCTCCGGCTCCGGGGAGCAAGCTCCGGCCCAGTCGGGCCCAGAAGCCGGCAGTCTCCGCCCATGCCATCCCCTCAGAGGCCAGGCCCGCCGGGACCCACCTCCGCCCCGCCCCGCCTCGCTCCTCCCCGGCCCGTTCCTTCCCTTTAGAGCTCCTCCTCGACTTTATGGGTGCGTCCCCGCTGCCGCCGTCGGGAGCATTTCTAGCCAATCAGGCACCTTCTCTTCCCGCGGTACCCAATAGGCATGTTGGGGGCGGGGCCTCCGTGAGGTCCCGGCCGTCTGTTCGTTCTCTCGGTCTCCCGAGGCCCCGGGTGAGAAACAGGACAGACGCGAGGGGCGGAGCTTGTAGAGAAAGATGGCTGCTGTCCGGGGGTTGTCCCTAACGGCCGCGACGCAGAAAGTGGTCACTCACTGGCCGAAGGGCAGGTACCAAGACTAGAAAGGCACCTGGAAAGGTTGTTTGGTTCTGCACCTGTAGGACAAATGGGAAACTAAGGCCTGTGGGGGAGGTGAGGGTTGGGAGGCCGTCCAGGTTGGGGTCGCCAGGCTTAGCGTTGGGCGCTCCAGGTCGAGGGTGGCCAGGTGCTCCTGCTCCCGGGCTCACCCTCCTCCCTTGCGCGCAGGCTCCTCGCGGCCTCCCTGGGACTCCGGGCGCGTCGGGAAGCGTCGTCCTCCAGCCCCGAGGCCGGCGAAGGGCAGATCCGCCTCACAGACAGCTGCGTCCAGGTAGGAGGCCGGGCGCGGGGCGGCGGTACCCAGGCGATTGGCTGGAGCAGCGGGAACTGCTCTTCACCCAGCCCTTTAACTCCCCTTGCCCGGCATTCTTGATCCCCCTTCCTGCATTTCAGAGGCTTTTGGAAATCACCGAAGGGTCAGAATTCCTCAGGCTGCAGGTGGAGGGAGGTGGATGCTCCGGATTCCAATACAAATTTTCACTGGATACAGTTATCAACCCCGACGACAGGCAAGGAGGAAGTGGTGGGTCCCCTAAGGAGATATGGGAGGGATAAAAGTGTCTTCTATTTAAGGTTCACTTTTATTACAAATTTAAAGGGTTTACCCGGAATGGTTAACACCGCCTGTCTCGCAGTGAGGATGCAGTAAAGGTTTGTTGTCCTTAATCAAAATAACTAAGTTATAGGAGGAAAATTGGCCTGCCCAGGTCCACTGGGTAGTCGGTGGAAAGTCAGGCCAGGCTAGATTCCAGGCCTAAGTCCCTAAACGGTTCCCAGTATCTATTCCATTGAATCATTTTGCCTCAAAGAAAAGCAGGACCTGTTAGAGATAATTGAGACGCTCCCTCTGTACTTTAGAAAACAGATGATGTGCACCTCTGGGCTCAGGGGTAACTTTTTTGGTGTTTGTGGTACTCATTAATGCCTTCCTCTTGTCTTTTCAGGGTATTTGAACAGGGTGGGGCAAGAGTGGTGGTTGACTCTGATAGCTTGGCGTTCGTGAAAGGGGCCCAGGTGGACTTCAGCCAAGAACTGATCCGAAGCTCATTTCAAGTGTTGAACAATCCTCAGGCACAGCAAGGCTGCTCCTGTGGTTCATCCTTCTCTGTCAAACTTTGATGCCATGACAGGTGACCCTGAGATTGTCACCAGTTGTACCCATTTGAGGAACTTGGAAATAGTAGAATTCTATAGGTTTCCTTCTAATCATGCCCTTTCAGTTTCCCCGCTGTCCAGGAATGTTGTGTTTTGCCACTGTTATTTTCAAAACGTGAAGATTTCACTCTTGGCTTAATTTTCCCCTCCAACCCCTCTCAGTGCTAAGGCTGAGCTTCAGATGCTGTTACCTCAGATTTAATCATTGGTTGAAACTCCGTTTAATCTGTAGAGCCTCTTTGGCTCTAACATTTGGAATTAACTTCTCTGGCCTTAAGAGCTGCTTGTACATATGTGGAGAACCATGTATAAAAGCTTTATTTTAAAGAAAGTCCTTATTGTGTTGTGGATCAGGGTCACAGATTGGGTAGCTTGGACACCAGTTATTAGAGGATGAGAAAGGTAAATGTTCTCTTTTTCATTCCACCCTGCCAGAACGTGCCACTTGACTTACCTTTATTGTCTGTGCAGCCCATTCACCACTTCCTATTTGATAGGACAGATACATTTTACTCTCATACTCATGGATCTGCTAGGAGTCATAAAACCAAGAGCACATTACCCAGAAAACTTGGACCAAATCCTCACTGCTACTGAATTATTTCAAAAATAGCCTCGCTACTCATACAGACTTTTTAAGATTCTATGACAGTTTAATGACTGAATCTTTTTAGGATATGTTGCTTCACCTGCCTTCTGTTGTAAAATGGCTCTGGTCTCATTTTACACAATTGCACAATTTTGAGACACAATGAGACACAAAAATGAGACACAATTGGTCTCATTTTTACAATTGCACAGCAAGAAGCAATTCCTTTATTGTTATAGGTAATAGATTCTTAGGAACCTTTTTTTAGATTGGGTTACCAGATGAAATGTACGATGCCCAGTTACATTTGAATTTCAGGTAAACAATTTCTAAGTATGAGTATGTCTCAAATTATTTATTATTTGAAATTCAAATTTAGGCATCCTGTATTTTTATTTGCTGACCTTGGCAACCCTACTTTAGGGTCACCAAACAGAAACTTTTTAAAATCACAGATTCTCATGAATTAAAGTACTTGTGTAGGTGTGGCACTTAAATAGGCTTTGGAGCTTGAAATAATCCTATTAACAGTGCATCGGAGCTGTGGGGACAGACAATGAAAGAAAAAGAATCCATTGCCATCACCACACCGAATGATTTATTAATACCGATGTTGGAGAAACTACAACCAAGTTGATTCTGGAAGAGTTATTGGTTAAATCCAACTTTTGCTTGGGAGCCTAGACATTTGTTATAGCAAAGACTTGCACTTCTGCACTAGTTTGGAATTGAGGTTATTTAATAAGAATTTACTGTGAAAAAATGGAAATAGAGTTTAAAAAATAGACAGAAACTTAGATACATTTCCAACATGGCAAAATCTAGGATTTAGAGAAAACAAACCTAGCATGCTGTTAGAGGAAAGAAGGAGACACTCAGAAACCTGAGCACATTTCTTAGTGCCCATGGAAGGAGGCAGAAAGTGGCATACCATGAGAGCATCTTTGTGTACACATAACCAAGACGGTGCCACCAATACCTGCGCCTGATAAGGTTTTAAGTTTGCACTACCTGTTTTTTCATCCTGCTTTAAGCAATTTTGCTACATTTTAAACATTAGAACATATTCTTTCAGAATATTTTTGTGGGTTATTCATTGATTTGGTGGTTTTAAAACTCTTGAGCACAAGCAGAACAGCTTCTGTTGCTAAATCAGTCAAATTACAGTGGTCCACTAGACAGAAACAGGGTCCCTTAGGATACAGAAGCTTATATGTGAGTGTCAACTGTTAATGGGAGAATTGGAATTTTATGTTTAGAAAAAGATTTGGGGACGGATGCGGTGGCTCGTGCCTGTAGTTCCAGCACTTTGGGAGGCCAAGGTGGGCGTATACCCAAAGTCAGGAGTTTGAGACCAGCCTGGCCAACATGATGAAACCCCATCTCTACTAAAAATACAAAAATTAGCCAGGTGTCAGGCACCTGTAATCCCAGCTACTCAGGAGACTGAGGCAGGAGAATCACTTAAACCTGGGAGGCAGAGGTTGCAGTGAGTCAAGATTGTACAACTGCACTTCAGCCTGGGCAGCAGAGTGAGACTCTGGCTCAAAAAAAAAAAAAAAAAAAGACAGATTTGGGAAAAATCATGTTACTTCACACTGAGAAAGCTTCATGGGGAAACCAGAAGTGACAGCAAGAAGTTTCCATTGGAAGGTGGTGACTTAAAAACACAGGACATGGGGGAATGATAGCATCAGGGGACCATGGGCAGTTTGTTTGGAATAAATAGGACACACAGTAAAATGAGTTAGGGTTCTACTGCAGGCCCTTTCTGACCAGATGCCCTCTTCTTGGTGGCCTGTAAAAGCCAGTGGTCATTTTCACAAATTTTGCTCACTGCATATTCATTTAGGAAAACTTTGTGGTCTTCCAGTTTCAATTGGGACATCTTATGCCTTCCCGTTCTTTGGAGATTGTCAAGGCCTATTTGTTGTAGAATTGGCACTAACATTTTACACAAGTCAGTGCTGAGGGATAAGAACCAGTCAAGGGAGCTCTGAATCTGCTTTATGTTGTGAATCAACTTTATGTCGTTTTTCAAAGAGAAGGTCTCTTGGTGAATGTCCAGATCTTATTGTGGTACCATACTTCAGTTATGTGATGACAGTGACCAATGATACATAAATTATGTGTCCCATCCACTCTTAGTTTCTTTCTTTCTTTTTTTTTTTTTTGAGACAGGGTCTCACTCTGTCTCCTAGGCTGGAGTGCAGAGTTGCAGCCTATACCTCCCAGGCGCAAATGATCCTCCCACCTCTGCCCCCAAAAATAGCTGGGACTACAGGTGCACACCACCAAGCAGGCTAATTTTGTATTTTTTTGTAGAGATGGGGTTTTGCCATGTTGCACTGGAGTCTTGAACTCCTGTGCTCAAGCGATCCTCCCCCCTCAGCCTCCCAAAGTGTCAGGATTACAGGTGCGAGCCACCACGCCTGGCCCATCCATAGTTTCTTTGTGTGGGAATGTTGACTGTTTACAAGGGATAGGAAAAGAAATTCAGAAGTTAGAGATTAGGAAGGACTACTAAAGTAGGTGTTCAGGAAGAGCTTCTTTCTGTAACTTCTGAGAATTGAGCTCTGTTCTTTTGTCGTTTGTTATGAAGCATTGGAGTATAGGGGTGGCATTTGGCAGGATCAACCTGCTATAGGGAAGTGGGCAGCACTAATCCATGGTACAGCTCTCCCTTGAAATCTGGACATAAGCTAATGGTGTGCAGCGGGCCTTGGGCAGGGCGTAACACTGTTCACTGCATGTTTATCTGAAAGGAAGGAATCTCTTATATTTTTCTTCATATCTAGCATTGGTGTGTATGATTGCTCTTTTAAAAATCCCTATTTGCTGTTCTTCATAAAAATGCCACAGGGCTGCCTAACAAATTTGCGCTAAGGAATTTGGACATAATTAGCACCTGGCTTTAATTGTAAATTTTAGTCCGATAAATATATAAAGAGAGGGAGCATTTAAGCAATCTGTGGCCAGCAACTGTATTTAAAAATATTTTATTATTTTTTTGAATAGGTGATACATAGTACAAAATTCAAAAAAATACAAAAGGAGATACAGTGAAAAGTCTCCCAATCCTGTACCTGTCCTCCTTTCACCCTCCCCACAAACCACCATCGTTTCTAAGAATTTATCCTGCAGATATAATCCCATAAATTAATGTGAAATATGCACAAGAATATTCATTGCAGCATTATTTATAGCAAAAGACAGGAAACAATGGAAATGTTTATCAGGGAGGGACTGATTAAATAAATTATGGTTTATCCACTCAGTAGAATAGTAGACGGCTATAAAATGGAAAAGTGCAGAACAGCATGCATTGTAGGCTATTTGTGTTTTAAACAAAGGAAATATGTATATATGCATGCAGTATCTCAAGGTTGGGCAGCAAGGCGAAGCTTGGAGTGTTGTAGGGGTGGTGGGAACAGCAGTTAAGGTATAGTGCCAGCAGGATATATTTGGGGGATGGTAAGATGTTCTCTGAATGGTAAGGTATAAAGTGGAGTGGCAAGGATTAACAGACAACCACTTCTCTTTCCCCATTCTTTAGACAAATAGTGTTATGTTACACGCTGTTATGTAGCCTCCCTTTTTCCCTCAATTTGTTTGGATATCTTTTTTAACAAGGCATTTAAAGACACCTTTTTTACGGGTTTCATAGCAATTAATTGTTTCTAATCTTTTGCTATTACAAATGATGCAGTAATAACTTCTTACATATGTCATTTCATATCTGGTGAAAATAGATCTGAAGATCAAGTACCTAGAAGTGGAATTACTGGATCAAAGAGTTAGTGCTTTTATAATTTTGAAGGACATTGCCATACCGTCTTCTTCAATATGTACTTCTATCAGCTATTATGAGTGCCTATTTCCCCACATGCTTGCCAGCTAGCAGTCTTAAGCTTTCTGTCTTTACCAATCTGACAATTTCAAAAAAGCATCTCAATATGGTTTTAAGTTGTATTTCTTTTATTATGAGTGAAAGAATATTTTCACATGCATAAGAGTGATTTATTTTTGTTTGCTGAAAACATCTCAATTAATATAGGAACCTAGAGAAAATTAAGCTTTCTATGTCTCAGTTTCCTCTCCTGTAAATTGAGAATAAACAATGGTAAGTCAGATCATGGATAATTAAATGAAATGTATGTATAGCCCTCAGCACAGTGCCTGGCACATAGCAAGCGTTCAATAAGTTATGTGAGGCTAACAATCAGAAGAGGAGGTAGGACAAGGCAGATTAAATTAAGAAAGTAGCATTCACTTCTGTGCTCCAGTCACATGGAGCCTTGTTTGTTTGCATCGCCATTCATCAGAGAAGTGCAAAGTCAGAGCTTTCCTTGTCTTTCAATAGTAAAGAGTCTTTTCCCATTGGAACCCATCATAGGCTATCAGCAGAGCTGGCCAGGGAGTAGGCACAGCCTTGTCTCTAATATTTAGACTTAGCCAACATGGTAAAGATATTTGGTCTGTTATGAAATAAAAACAAGAACAGAAGAAACCATATGTACATGTCTTTATTCTACCATGGTTCTGAACTCCCAGCTAGCTTGGGTTGGAGTGAGTCTCTGCTTGTAAACTCAGAGGATTGCCTGCCATCGTTTTCTGAAAGAAAAGGCAGGTTCTTCTGAGTAGAGGGGAAAAACAACATTGCAAATCTGGCTTCCTCTGAAGAAGACCATACCAAACAGTAGACTTTTTACTTTTAGAACATCAAACTGGTTTTCACAAAAGGAGAGTCTAGAAGAGGTTTGTTTCCCGTAATAGAGGTCATTGTAGATGGGCACGCCATCCCATGGCAGCCCTTGCTGCTGGTGCACACGGGCTATCGCTGGGTGTATTTTGAATGTTACAGCTACTGAATATTTTCTTTAGACATATGAAGGCTTGGCTCCCCTTTCTCATCAACTCCACAAACTTTTCATCATGTTCTCTTGCTGTTTTCTCAGGCTCTTCGTTCTTCTTCATTTGTGTCTCTTACACTCAACAAGCTACTATCAGTCTTGCGTCTCTGAGTGAAGGGATCTTCTGCCACTCCTTGGGGCCAGAGAATGGGCTACAGGATGGAGGTGTGGCAAAATTAGGGCCCAGAACAGATTGGCTGAGTGGTGGTGATGGTTCTTGGGAGGGGGCACTGGAGTCAGTCCCCAAGCTTCCCCAAATCCTTTCTTGCTCCACAGATTCTGAAGGACCTTCACAGAGCAGATGTAGCCTCTGTCCTCGTGGGATCATCAGGATGATGGTGGATAGTGGCTGGAAAGGGGTGTCTGCAGTGTGAGGCCATGGGGCCTTTCGTGCTTGCACAGCTTGGGAGGGTGGATGAGGGCCATCCTTTGGTAAGCATCCCATAGCAAGGCCAGGACAGGTGGTGGACAGGGCCTCATGCAGTGGCTGAAGCATTAAAGCGATTGGTGGTGCTTGAGCCAAGCAAGGGCATAGAGGCAGTAACCGAAGCTCACAGCCAGAGGCTAAGCTGGGAGAGATGAAAGCAGGCAAGGCTGAATGGGAACCTCTGGCCTGACGACGCCTGTCTTCCCAGCTGGGAAATCAGCCTCAAGGCCCCTGCCTGTGACTGGAGGCCATTTCAAGATAGTTGCCACACTGACCCCTGACAGCTACTCCTTGGCAGTGCAGTGGGGGGGACCTGCCTCAGCCACATAACCCGGGGAGCAGTGGCAGCGGTAGGAGCCCTCCGTGTTCTCGCAGTAACCATGGGCACAGAGCACAGCAGGCCCATTCAAGTCATCACACTCATTCACATCTAAGAGGAAGCAAAGGAGAGAAGAGCTGTAGGGAGCCCAAGTGCCTCTGCTGGCTGCCTCCACCCCTCTGGTTACTAAGCCCTGGCCCCTGCCCTGGAGTGAAATCCTAGGTGTGACAGCCAGAGGCTGCAGTCACTTCCCAAAACCAAGCAACTCAAGGACAAAGCAGGGGGCCGAGGGCTCATACCGTGCCCAACACCATGCTCTCTTGTCCTTGTCTTTTTTCTGGGAACCTGCATGGAAGGGGCTTTCTAAAGCACAGAATTAGACCTTCCTTTGGTGCTTTCTTCCCCGCCAGCCTGTCGCAGACAGCCCCACTAGGAGGCAGCAGTGGCTTTTCCAGCTCTCCTGAGTTCAAACATCCCTGTGGGCAGTGGGCCAGCCTGACTCCTCCATCAGAATTCTCCACTCACCCACGCAGGCCATGTGGGCCGCATCCAGCTGGAAGCCCTCAAAACAGTCGCAGGTGTAGCCCTCCCGCACACGCACACAGCGGCCATTCTCACAGCCGTTCAGGATGCCACACTCCTCCGCCTGAAGCCCTTCGAAGCCGGCTGGGGGCTCTGGGAGGAGGGAATCGGAGAGAGAAGGAGGCTGAGGCCTGTGTCCAGACTCTTTGCCCTCCTGGACAAAGAGTGCCCCATGGGACTTTGGGGGTGGGGGCAGAGAGGATCATAAAATTCTCGTGGAAAGATGCTAGAACAAAAGGCATTGCTCTTGAAAAAGAAAGTGTGTCATTTTAGATGGGGAGAGGTGCTCTGGACTTTAAATGAGGGCTCCAGGGAGGGGGAGACTTGCTGCTTCCACAGTGCCCAGCTCCTGATGGGGGTTGGAGGGTGGGGGAGTGTTTTTGGGTTTGGGCGTTGGGGTGGGGTGAGGTATTTTGTTTAATCTTCACGCTGTGTGTTTTTGGGAGTGGGGAACAATTGGTAGCAGAGGGGCCTTGCTCAACACAAAGCAAAACGTCTACCAGATCTGCCTAACCTTCCTATCTCTAAGCACCCCTCCACCCCATGGAAAAGGACCCACCCTGCCTGGTGGTATAGTCTTAGGCTGCTGTGGTAGCTGTGCCTATGGTGGGTACTGTGCTAGGCCTGACTTCCTCATTAGAATCCACGGCCTGAGTGCTGGGATGGCACCATTCACAAACCGAGTCATCACAGTAAGCCTTTAAAGTCCTTAGAAAACATGAATCCACATTTCAGGTCACAAGTGTGAATGCTGGGTGTCCTCAGAGCAGGTTATTCTGCAGCCTGTAGGTGGCATGGAGGGAAGAAAAGACTGTAGTGATGGAGGGAGGAAAAGACCAGTGATGGAGGGAGGAAAAGACTTCAGTGATGGAGGGAGGAAAAGACCAGTGATGGAGGGAGGAAAAGACTGCAGTGATGGAGGGAGGAAAAGACCAGTGATGGAGGGAGGAAAAGACCAGTGATGGAGGGAGGAAAAGACTGCAGTGATGGAGGGAGGAAAAGACCAGTGATGGAGGGAGGAAAAGACTGCAGTGATGGAGGGAGGAAAAGACCAGTGATGGAGGGAGGAAAAGACCAGTGATGGAGGGAGGAAAAGACTGCAGTGATGGAGGGAGGAAAAGACCAGTGATGGAGGGAGGAAAAGACTGCAGTGATGGAGGGAGGAAAAGACCAGTGATGGAGGGAGGAAAAGACCAGTGATGGAGGGAGGAAAAGACCAGTGATGGAGGGAGGAAAAGACTGCAGTGATGGAGGGAGGAAAAGACTGCACTGATGGAGGAAGGAAAAGAATGCAGTGATGGAGGGAGGAAAAGACTGCAGTGATAGAGGGAGGAAAAGACCAGTGATGGAGGGAGGAAAAGACCAGTGATGGAGGGAGGAAAAGACCAGTGATGGAGGGAGGAAAAGACCAGTGATGGAGGGAGGAAAAGACTGCAGTGATGGAGGGAGGAAAAGACTGCACTGATGGAGGGAGGAAAAGACTGCAGTGATGGAGGGAGGAAAAGACTGCAGTGATAGAGGGAGGAAAAGACCAGTGATGGAGGGAGGAAAAGACTGCAGTGATGGAGGGAGGAAAAGACCAGTGATGGAGGAAGGAAAAGACTGCTGTGATGGAGGGAGGAAAAGACTGCACTGATGGAGGAAGGAAAAGACTGCAGTGATGGAGGGAGGAAAAGACTGCAGTGATAGAGGGAGGAAAAGACCAGTGATGGAGGGAGGAAAAGACCAGTGATGGAGGGAGGAAAAGACTGCAGTGATGGAGGGAGGAAAAGACTGCACTGATGGAGGAAGGAAAAGACTGCAGTGATGGAGGGAGGAAAAGACTGCAGTGATAGAGGGAGGAAAAGACCAGTGATGGAGGGAGGAAAAGACCAGTGATGGAGGGAGGAAAAGACTGCAGTGATGGAGGGAGGAAAAGACCAGTGATGGAGGGAGGAAAAGACCAGTGATGGAGGGAGGAAAAGACCAGTGATGGAGGGAGGAAAAGACTGCAGTGATGGAGGGAGGAAAAGACTGCAGTGATGGAGGGAGGAAAAGACTGCAGTGATGGAGGGAGGAAAAGACTGCAGTGAACTGCTTTCTCTCGCTCTGTCCCCACAGGAAGCTTGTAGGTTAGGACAGAGGCAGTGTCCTGTACCTTTTGTGTCCCTGTGCTAGTTTATAACAGAGTTGTTAGGATTGGACCTGGGCGTATGTACTTGTCTTGATGAACCATGAACGGGGACCTCTGGCTTGGTGTGTCTTTCCCCTTCCCAGTCCTCATCCTGCTGGCAATATGACTAGCAGGTGGAGGAGATGGAAGCGAAACATGCCCACCTCTTCCCCATTTTTGCAGCAACACAGACCTGGATGGCTGGCCACATAGTGGGGCTGGAGTTCTGAGGGCTGCAAGGGAGACTCAAAGATGGGTGTGCGGTCCCCTGGGTGGCCGGCAGTGTTGGGGAAGGGAGGTTCAGGGACGGTGTCCTCGGGGCCCAGGTAGTTGTAGAAGGGGGCCCCATCTGGGCCATAGATGCTGAAGTGCAGGTCGTCAGGGCCAGGGCCATACTCATAGCCTGGCCGGAAGAGGACCCCAGCCTCCCGCTCCGCCTCGATGCGAGCCACGTTGCACAGCTGAGCATAGACCTCTGTCAGGGAGGAGGGAGAGAGGGAGCTGGGTTCCAGCTCCTGCCTGCTAAAGCCTGGTTGGCTTTGTCTCTGGGAGCATGCAGGGACTGGTACCCTTTGGGAGATCCTGGCAGCATTCCTCTCGCCACCTCTCCCCTGACCTACTTTGTCTCCAAACAGCAGGATGGAAGACAGGGTCTGATTGCTCTGCTACTTTCTAGATCCCCCGTTCCAGGGTGAGGGCCTCCTCCTCCCTGGGACCTGGCCCAACCCTACAGGGGTCTCCCCTTTGTTCCCCCTCACCAGAGTTCCTGGGGGGACACAGGGCACACTGCTGGCTCCAGGCCTCGCCATCCTGGCAGCAGCATTCCGTGTAGGTGGTACGATGCCCATGCAGGGGTTCGCTGCATATGTCATTGGTGACTTTTTTCCAGCAGACGTCCATGTGGATGTCGTGGTCAGGGAGGTCCTCTGGTGGCACAGGGCACAGAGGCACATGAGCCCCCCAGATCAGATCCCCTTCTCCTGCTGCCCCACGCTCAGGCCCACTCACCCGTGCTGCTGGAGCTGTTCATGCAGCGCTGCTGGCTGACGTCCAGGGTGAGCGGGGGGCTGCAAAAGCAGTGGAAGGAGCCCTCTGTGTTGACGCACTCGCCATTCTCACAGGCCAGGTCCTGGCACTCATCATGATCTGGAGTGGCAAGAAACGGTGGGGCAATGCCAAGGTGGCCTGTCTACTGACCATCCTCAGGGAAGGGGGTTTTCCTATCACTGATAATGAAGAGTTAGTGCCCTGCCTCCCTCTCCCCAACCCAGCCCAGCCTGGAAGGCCCTGCCCTGGGGACAATCTCTGACAGCCCAGAGCTCCTTCACCTGGGATTGGCCTGTGCAGTGGGTGGCCTCCCCAGAAAGGGGGACTCCCAGCAAGAATGGGACTGGCTGGGTTGGCCATTATTCACCCCTGTGGGCCTGGGGTGTGGGCAGGGATCATGTGTATCCTCACCCTCACACTTCCTGTGGGAAGCATCATAGTGGAAGCCAGGATTGCACAGGCAGACGTAGCCAGGCACAGTGTTGAGGCACTGCCCGTTCGGGCAGAGACCAGGCCCAAAGATCACACACTCATCCGCATCTGTGGAAGGGCAGAGCTGAGGTGAGAGGGAGGTGAGAGGCAGTATGAGGGGTACCTAGAGCAGGGGCTCCAAAGCGAGGCTGGGTTTCAGTCCCAGCTCTGCCACTTACTAGCTGGGTGGCTTCAGGCAAGTTGCTTAAGTTCGCCTTGCCTCCGGTTCCTATGTGCTCCTTAACCTCTTAGAGTTGTTATAAGGATGAAAAGGTGCTAATACGTGTGAGGTGCTCAAAACTGTGTGTGGTGCATAGCCAGCACCCAGCTAAAGCGACCTCTGTTTCTATCGTTTCCTTCTCAGGACTAGCTTAAGGACTAGGGCTCTGAGGGGCGCAGTACCTAGACCATCCCACTGTGAGTGTGGGTTCCCCAGAGTTTCCAGCCTCATCAGTGCAGCCAGGGAGATGAGCCCGGCCTCTGGCCGCTACAGCTGTGCTCTACACTCTGTCTCTGTGCCCACATGTGGCTGGGGGGTGACAGTTAGTCAAGGCATTTTAGTTTGTTTCTGGAGGTGCAGCCTTGGGGGAGCAGGGAAACTGAGGTGAGGTTCATGTGGACATTCCAGAAGCAGCTTGGGTCAGAACTTCCAGCTAACACTCTGCAGGGAGTCAGCCCTGGGAGAAAAAAGGTGGAGGCCACCTGGGAGGCCAGGGCTGGATGCAGAACTTCCCCAGGGACCCCGTGGAGGAGCAGGCTGGGGCCCACTCCGGTGAATAGGGTTTGGGGCGGAGGATGGCGCAGGAGGTTACCTGTGTACATGGTCTGTCCAAACGTCCAGGCTCCTTCCACAGGAATGTAGCCTTTACCACTAGGGCAGATCTCGCTGAATTCAGCTATGTAGAGAGGCATTTCAGCTCAGAGTGGGGAGGGTCCTATCCCTTTCCTCTCTCCCCTCTTTCAGTGTCACCTTGCCTAGCTGACCCTTTGAGGATCTGGAACCCTTAGGGCCTTACCCGAGTCCTCAGATGGGCAGAGGTCACAGGCATCTCCCCAGCTGGAGCCCTGGGTGCAGCAGCATTCAGCCTGTGTGGTGTTCTGCCCCAGGACGCTGGAGCAGGGTGCATGGCTGTTCTGCCCAGAGTAGCAGTCCATGCGGATGGTGGCCGGGGCATAGTTTCCTGTTGGGGCCTCAGGGATACTCTGACCTGTGCATGACAGATGTTCATTACTGTCTGTTCACGGTCCTCTAAGGGATCAATAGCCCTTGACTTTCTTTCTTAGATTTAACATTTGTGTAGCACTTTACAGTGGAAAAAATGCTATTACCTGTATTACCTCACTGATGCTCTTGACAACCCTAAGAAGTGTCTTCATCATCATCTCCCTTTTACAGATGAAGAAATCGGGCCTTGTCACCACTGTGCAGCTATGAAGCAGTGCAGCAGAGATCTGACCCCAGTTCTTCCTCACCAAAGCACTTGTTCTTTGTGGGACACCACCCTGCCTGCCTCCCTGTGATGGACTGCCTCCAGTCCCTGGGATGCCATATGGGCAGCCTGCTGGTCTGTTCTGCTCCACATGTACCCCAGCCCCTTCCACCCTCCTCGTCTCCCTCATTTTCCTCCAAGGCGGTGAAGGCCGGCTGAGTCCTAGTCCAGTCTGGGGTGAGAGGCTGAACCCAGCAGCTCTGGGGTGGAGCAGGAAGTGGGAAGTGGAGACTTCAGTTTAGCTCAGCTTCAAGTTGCCTGTCATCCAGAAGGTTCCCAGGGATTAGATGGATTCAGGGTTCCTCCAAGTCTCAATCTGTGGTCCCTGGGGCTGCCCTAAGTCAGTGTAAGAGTTTCCTTAGCCTTCCCTAGGGTAGTCGCCACCCTGTAGCTCCTGGTCTCTCTGCTCACAGCACTCAGTCGCCTCAGCCCTCCATGTGCCAGGCCCCACCTGTACCTCACCACACTGCCCCAGGCCCTGGCCCGGTATCCCCCTCAGAGGCTAGAGGCTAGCAGAGGGATGTGGAGGGACAGGCTCTCTGTAAACCTCTGAGTTGCCATGGATAATGAGTCTCCCAGGCCTCACCTCCAGCCCCCCGTGGGCGGCAGTGCCCCTCCTGGGCATCGTATTCCTCCAGGTCACTGGCACAGAGGCACAGGAAGGAGCCCTCCACGTTCTCACAGAGCGCGGCCCCACATACTGCCAGCATGAGCTCACACTCGTTCACGTCTGCCGGGCATGAGGACAGGCTTGTGGGCAGAGAAGAGGTGGTCCGTGCCCCCTGCCCCTGACTCCAGCCCACTGCCCCCAGAGAAGCAGGCTAGGCCTTGGGGAAGAAGCAAGAGTAGAGATTTGCAGGGAGGAGGAACTGATGGACAGAGGGCATGGGAAGGAAGAGAGAAGGAGAGGAGCAGCAGCAGACAGTCACAGACGTGCACAAAGAGGAAGGGTTACCCCTCGGTGCACATTCTCCAAACATTCCGCCTCTGGAGGCCCTGAAGCTTGAGGACACCTGCTGCCCTGCTGGCAGAGTGTGGCTGTGCTTCCCTTTCCTGCCTGGCCCACGTGGCCCTGGGCAGGGAGTTGAAGTCTCCCTGTTCCTTGAAGCCTCCCTTGCCCACGTTCTGGGGACCCACTGTGGAGTCACGTGACGAGGACCAGTTCAGGAGGAGGACCCCAGGACTTCCCTTCCCTGGCCCAGACCGTGGGTAGCCCACAGGCTCCTCACCCACACAGTCCCAGCCTGAGGGGGAGATCTTGAAGCCCTGGTCACAGAGGCAGCGGAAGGAGCCATCAGTGTTGTCACAGAAGCCGTGGCTCCCACACATGGTGTCATTGGTGCACTCATCTATGTCTGTGGGACAGTGGAAACCAGGGTAGAGGGGATGTGTGTGCGTGTGTGCGTGTGTGCGTGCACTCTCTTGCACACATGCACACGCTCTTGTTCTCTGCTGAGAATACTTATTTGGCTTATTACCACCAAGATCTGCAAAAAGCAGCCTCTCAACACAGGATAAGAAAACCCTAACATTGACAGTCCTGTGCCATTTTTCATATGCTCTGCTGGATGGAAAACATACAAACTACAATCAGCTGCAAAAAAATCATGTCCTCAGGAGAAAATCATGTCTAGCTCAATACGTGAAACATAGGTGTTCTCAGCCCTCTCTCCTCTCTCTCCTCCCTCCCTACTCATCAATGCAGTCTCTGTTTGAGGCCATGTGGAAGCCCGGCTGGCAGCCCAGGACCCAGCGATAGGAGCCAGGGCTGTTTTCACACTTCCAGGCCCCACACACCAGGTCTCCACAGCCCTTGCACTCATTGATATCTGTCCCCAAAGCCATGCCTTGAGAGGGGAAAGAGGCGGCCAAGTCACTGCTCTGGTCCCACAGGGTCATGCCCCACAATCTCTGGGGTTCTTGATCTGTTCCAGATTACTGTGCTCCTCCCAACCCAGCACACCAAGGTTAGGACGATTTCCCCTGACCCTTCAGCGCTGAACATCTGGGAAGAAACCTGTCTGCTATTTAGGAAGTGGTGAGCTCCTAGCCTTCTGTGACACTCTTTTCCTCTGCCGCCCCGTCTGACTCCCATCCCTACCAGCAGAGCGCTGTACTTCTCTTTACAGGGAGCCTTCAGCATAGTGTATTACAGAGAATTGTCTTCATATCTATATCCCTTGCTCAATTTCGAAATCGTCCATAACTGTCTATTTGTCCTAGCAAAAGACATTGAACATAGCAGGTGTTTAATAAATGTCTATTGAATCAATTTGGGCTTTAAGACTAGATTGTGCATTCTGGCAGCACAAAGATGATGATTGTCTTCATTCTGTCATCCTTGGACAGCCCCTGAGCCCTGAGTCTTAATACATGCACTATCCGTTGGACACTTTATCTGTGGAAAGTGCCCTGCTCCACAGGAACTGAGGACCAGGCAGGGTAGAGGTGGGCAGAGCCCTGTTCCCCGCCCCCCAACCAGGGCGCTTACCCACACACTCTCCACTCTCTGGGGCGGGCTGGAAGCCAGTGTCACACAGACAGTTGAAGGAGCCCTCAGTGTTGACACAGTGCCCTCCCAGACACGGGTCTGTGGCGGCACACTCATCCACATCTAGAGTAGAAATGGCTGTCAGCTGACCCAGCCGCGGGTCCCTTCCCTGTTAGGGCCCTGTGTAGCTTCCCCTGGACACTGAGTAGCCCACAGGAGGGTTAGAGAGTAGCTCAGGTAGGGAAGGGCTGGAAGCCAGAGGCCAGGCTATGGGAGGTGGAGGGTCCCTGGAACTGGAGCTCTGTAAAGGGGAAAAGTGACCCTCAGAGTCTGGAGTGGGTGCATGCCTGCTGTCAATGTTGTGAAGAGGCCCTGGGAAGAGATTGAGTCCCTCCCTCCCTGAGCACTAGCATCATTCCTCACTTCCAGCTTCTCCTGGGGCGGGGCTGTGAGCAATGGCTCTCAGTATTGGTATTAAAAGGGACACCACTCTAGTCTTAGCCTCTAGCGCCCATGCTCCTGGTCAGTAGATGTGGCTGTGCTGGCTTCTCACCTTGGCAGCTGGTGCCCCCCTCTGTGCTGACGAAGCCGGGTGCGCACAGACAGAAGAAAGACCCGTGGCTGTTGAGGCACTCGCCATGGGGTGCGCAATGCTCCTCCCCCACACACTCGTTCACATCTGCAGGGAAAGATGGGCAGTGGGTATCTGCTGGGGATGTACCTGCCTCCCCACACATTCATGCCCCCCACCCCCAGTAGGCCGACCTGGGCCACTGACCCTCACACATGGTGCCATTGGCCAGCTGGAAGCCCTGGGGACAGAGGCACTGGTAGGAGCCCACCATGTTCTTGCACTCGCCTCCCAGGCAGCTGCTCTGGGGGTCTTCACACTCATCCACGTCTGCAGGGCAACACAGGGGAGAAAGGCAGCCAATGGAAGTACCTCCCAAGGACAGGAGCCAAGGGGGAGGTGTCCAAAGGACCTGTCACCTGCCTGCAGAGCTGGACCCACAGGGGCATCATGCCCTCATGAGGCAGCACAGCTGGGTGAAGCTCAGGAGTGACCTTTGGGGAGCAGGATGACGGCAGCTCCTCCCACCTTTGCCCCAGCAGCTCCCCACCTGGGCCCTGGCAGAGGGGCATCTTATTTGTGTCCTCTCCCGCATGGAGGCTCATACCTTCACAGGAGTTACCCAGGGGGCTGGGCCGGTAGCCACCACTGCAGTCCTTGCAGGAGAAGGAGCCAGCCGTGTTGGTGCAGACTCCTGAGGGACAAACTCCCGGGAAGGCACACTCATCTAGGTCTGCAGACAGACAGCGCTCACCCAGGGACCTAGGAGGGCTCCCACTCTGGGCAATGCAGGAACCTCACCATGGCCTTGGCCTCCCTCTCTGAGCCCCTAGGGGGTTTCCTAAAACCCCCTCCCTAGAACATTCCAGGGGTGGCCCTGTCCTCAGCTTCCCTCTTGTCTCTGTGACTTGTTTTTCCTCCTGTCCTCATCCTGAACTTGGGGATTATGACAATAGATGCTCTTACTGGGGCCAAGTCCATTTCTCTGGTCCTCTAGCCTAGCCTGGAGCCCCTCAGCAACAGCCCCAAACTGGGGACAGATGGAGTGTTCTTTGGGAAGTAAGATGGCCTATATTCTGTCCCCTTCTGCCACTGCCTCTCCAGGGTTACCTTCACAGGCAGTGCCATCTTCATTCACCCAGTACCCACTCTCGCAGGCAGAGCAGGTGAAGGAGCCCTCTGTGTTGAGGCAGAGGCCTGCAGGGCATGATGCCCGGCTGGCACACTCATCCACATCTGAAACAGGGCATTGCCTTCTGTGTGGGACTCTGCAGGACAGACAGGCCAGGACAGCCAGAGACTGGCAGGTAGGCAGGGGTGGAGGAAGGGCAGGTCTAGGCAGGGATGTGTTGGGTCAGGGTGGATAGGAATGTGGGGCCAGGGGAGAATTTGGGGAATGGGGGGTGGTGTGCAGAGGGGAGGGAGCCATAAGCCAGATTGGCCTGTGGAGAGGGGTGCCCCTGCATCTCTGTACCTTTGCAGCCCTTCTCATCTGAGGTGACCTCATAGCCCTGCTCACAAGAGCATCTGAAGGAGCCTTCCAGGTTGGTGCACTTTCCATGGACACAGACCCCGGGGGTCAGACACTCATTCACATCTGTGACAGAGAAGTCCAAGATGGGGGGCTGGCCTCCTTGCCATCCCACAGCCCCCACTGGCATGCTCTGAGTGTCTCAGTTATGAGGCCAGGGAACCAGCTTTCAGAGGGGCCTCAGGCCATCCTGGGAGGCTATGAAGCCATGCTCTCTCCTCCCACCTAGGCAGGGCAGGGCAGGACAGGGCAACCCATCTCCCGGGCTCACTTCAGCCCCAGCATTCTGTATGTGTCCATGCAGGGGCCAGGTCCCCCAGCCCTGGGGCTGGTTTGGCTCCTCTGAGGACACTCCCCTCATTGCGGGTGCCAGGAACCCTACATGACTTCCTACCTGCCAACCAGACAACCCATGATCCCAACCCAACAAGCAGTTTCCGCGGGTGGGCGGGCCGGGTAGAGAGAGGCTGGTCATGCTGAGGCGGCTGCGTGGCAGCCTCGAGGGCCTGGGAAAGGTCTGCCCTCTCCAGAGGCTCAAAGCGTCTATTCAACACTCAGTCCCTCCCGGCATTCTGAACTCCAAGCCCTTCTTCCTGAGGGGGCTGCAAGCTGCCCTTCTGAGGGAGAAGTGCCCCGCTGTGCAGTGGGCATTCTCCTTGGACACTGCTTTTGAGATGCAGAAGAGCAGGAGGCCCCTCTTCCCTGGGAAATGCAGAAAGGCCTGGCTCCATCCTAAGACCCTTAGGCTCCTCACTCCCACTACAGGATCCAGCTACAGAAGCTGCTGGGACTTTGGGTAGTCACTCCAGAATGGATATAGCCAAGGAACAGAAAAGGGCCCCACCCTCGGTGATTCAGAGGGCAGAGCCCTGGCGACTCATGCCCAGTATCATCTGGGAACCCAGCTGGATCACAGAGGACAACAGCCTTCAAGCCACCTCCCTCTGCCCACCTCTTTCCCTCTCTCTGTGTGTGGGCTCAACCAGAGATCTCAAGGCCCAATGGCCTGCTCAGTGGCTTGGCCAGCAGCCCTCACCTACACAGCTCCCACTCTGGCCCCGGTAGCCCTCCTCACAGGCCAGACAAGCGTAGGAGCCTGGGGAATTGACGCATCTCCCGTCAGGGCAGGTACCCGGGTGACGGCATTCGTTGATATCTGTAAAACAGCAGCCCCTCCCTTGGTCATCTCTGGGAACATAGCACATGGGTAGGTCTGTGACACAGCAAATCTTCATCCCTACCCTTGGTTGGGGAGAGGATGGACAGATGAAAACCGGGAAAGAATGAGAGCTGTCCTGTGTTCCCAACTCCACATCCCACCCACTGTCCTAGACAAAAAACGGAGATAGAAGAACTTAAAAATTAGAAAGGGAGACTCCCTGGGTGGGTGCAATAGGCTGTGGTTACCACCCGCTGTGGGAGGGCCAGAGGCTCTGCTTTGTGAGCTGGGCTGTTTGGGATGGGCGTTCATCTCTCCCCTGGCCTATTCCCAATCCTTTACAAGCAGTGACCATTACGGGGACGTGCTTGGCAGAGCAGCTAACTAGATTGCCAGAGGCTCCAGAATAGATCACCAGAGGGCAGTGAAGGCAGCTTGGGCCTCCTTGCACCAGGAAATGAGGACCAAGGAGGAACTCCCAATCTTGGATATGGCCAAGACCAGCCCTGAGGCTGTGTAGACTGCAGGATAGAGCTGGCAAAGCTTCTCTGCTGGAGAGCTGTCAGACATTTCTTCCAGCCAAGAACCATATAGGGATCCTGGCACTCACTCTGGTGAGATCCAGGAAAGTTAGCCAGAGGGGTAAGCCTGGGCATCAACTGGACACCCAGGGGATGAGGGGACCCAGGAAGGGAGAGCGGCAACAGGAGGAAGAGGGAGCTAGTTCTCCCAGAAGCTGAGGGAGGGCTCTTCCCTATGTGACATATCATGGGCTTCATCATCAAGGCACCTAGGGGACCTGGACTGATTAGGGAGGTCCTGTCACAGGGACTGAACTCTGGGTCAGCACTGCAGGAGGACATCCTGCTCCTCTGCCCAGTACCAAGGCTCTGGCTCACTCTTCATGACAGGTCCATAGGCCAAGTAAAGAGGAGGGGTTCTTCTTTCTAAATGGGTAATTGTCATTCTCCTAGAGGAAGTCCACCAGCTTATGCAGATTTAGAGGCCCTACTGGCTGAGAGGAAGAAGCCTGTGTTGGACCCTTGGCCTGCTTCCACATTTCCTCATCTGACGTGACCTCACAGCCCTGCTCACAAGAGCATCTGAAGGAGCCTTCCAGGTTGGTGCACTTTATATCAGCACAGACCCCAGGGGTCAGATACTCATTCACAACTGTGACAGAGAAGTCCAAGATGGGGGGCTGGCCATCTCAGAGCACCCACGGAGGAAATGTGAAAGGCAGGCCGAGGGTCCAACACAGGCTTTCTGCAGAGGGACTAAAGCCAGCAGCTGTCGCTGCAGGAGAGGACAAGGACCCTAAAGTGGAGGGTGAAAGTGAGTCCTCTCCGAGGTTGTTCAGTCTCTGGAAGTCAGGACACATCAAAGCCCTCTGTCCCAGAAGACTGGAACCCTCTCAAGCCTAAAGCTTCCTCCTGAGGGTCCAGAAGAGGGAGACATCACCACAGGGCAGGTGTTTTTTCAGGTGGGTCTCTGCAAGGAGATTCTCCCATGTAATCTTGGGGAAACTGAGATAAGGCTCATCACTGGCAAGAGGGCAGCCACAAGGCCCTACTTGAGTTGTGGTGACACCAGCCTTAACTATTCTAAGGGCTTCTGTAAAGACAGAGATGGAGAAAATGAAGGATCTAAGATGACTAACTGGCCACCCAAGAGACACAGGCCAGCACCATGGTCTGTTGGCCTTGGCCGAGGTACCTAAAGGAGGATGAGCAAAGCCACTGGGAATGAGAAGCAATCCCTGCTTCAGGGATGCCGGACGATCTCTTCCAGGATGAAGAGAATGTGATTGAGGCAAAGCTTCTCCTAAATCCATGCCAGGAAAAATGAAGTCTTTGGACTTTTCCCTCAGGGATCAGGCAATGTGGGAAGAAGATGAGGTTTGCCAGGAGCAAAGGGCCCTGAAGTCTGTCCTGCCCCAAACATGCTGGGCATATCTCTCGGAGGTGGTATGTGTAGTGTCTTAATGCTGGGCACTTGGGACACAGGTGGTATTCCAGCTCTCCACTTTCTGCACGATGGGAATCTGGTACCTCCTGGTCCCTTGTGGTTGGGTGGGGCCATGAGACTAGTGTGGGCCAATGAACTGTGAGTGGGTGTGATATGGGTAATTTATGGACCAAACCATTTAATTGTGTGCAACCCACCAGAGTGCTCTTTTGTTCTTCCATGGAGACTGGCTATTCCTTTAGCCCACATCTCCAATGAGGAAACATAAGGCAGAGCCCCCAGCTGACGCTTGATGAACAATGTGGCACTGATGAGATAGAAACTTGGTGGCTGCTGAGTGTGGAGGCTCACATCTGTAATCCCAGCACTTTGGGAGGCCAAGGCAGGCAGATCGGTCAGGAGATCAAGACCAGCCTGGACAACATGGTGAAACCCCATCTCTACTAAAAATACAAAAATTAGCCAGGTGTGGTGATAGGAGCCTGTAATCCCAGCTACTCAGGAGGCTGAGGCAGGAGAATCACTTGAACCCAGCGGGGAGAAGGCTGCAGTGAGCCAAGATCATGCCACTGCACTCCAGCCTGGGTGACAGAGTTAGACTCTATCTCAAAAAAAAAAAAAAGAAAAGAAACTTGGCTGCTATGTCACTAGGATAGGGGTTGTTTGTTAACGCAGCATAATGTCGTCTATCCTGGCACACTGCTGCTGGCTTCCTTCCTTAGACCAGACCCCCAGCCAGCAATGATCACACGTGAGTGGAGGGGGATGGCAGAAGATGAAAGCAGTCCCTCAGTCTCCACCCGAGCCAGGGAAGGGCTCTCCTGGATGGAAGTGAATATAACTGCACCATTAGCCAAGCCAATGCAAAGGAACCAGAGGAAGATTCTGAATGAAGCTGATTCTGTCACCAGCTACTCTGAGGCTATCCCACCAGTCTCTTGGTGCCTGGACTGGAGCTAGTCACTGGATCCAGAAATATTCCAGTTTTCCTACCTGGCCTAGGGTATGAATGCTAATCTGAGATTACAGTGTGTTTTGGAAGGTTTTAATGCTCTGGTCTTCAAAGTGGGAGTCATCTGTCTTATTGCTGTGTTCCTAGCCCATGGCTGACACACAGCTGGTGCTCCACAAACGTTTGCTGACCAAAGAGTGGGAGAACGTGTCTCAAACCTCACCCTTCACCTTTTTGGTATAAGGCTGCTGGAGACCCCAAAGGGCCCATGGAAACAGCCACTCCAGAAACCAGCTTGCCAAGCTGCCATTGGTACACTGGGAGGATCCTGGAGTTTCTCTAACTACGGATCAGCCTTTGGATGAGGAAATGTAAAGGCATTCACCTCTGCTGCTTGTGAGAGTATGGGGTGGGGGTGGTGAAGGCATTCAGGCAGGGGCCAGAAGCTCAGGTGACTTTGGTTATGGCTTGGCAACACCAAAGGCCCTGGCAGTCTGCAGGGAAGTCTATCCCCCATCCGTGGGAACCTGGAGTCCCGGTACGACAGAAATGCCATTGAGAATGCTGGACGGGCCTCTGTCCAGACCACTCAGCTTTTCACCAGAGACTTTCAGTTTTAGTGGAGAGAGTGGTTTCTGAGTTGGAGAGAGAAGAAAGAGGGAGAGGAAATTGACTGGGCTCCCAGGGTGATGAGCTGGGTTTGTGGTTACCGATGGAAACCTGGAGAAGTGTGCAGGCTACATCATTCTTTCTTTCAACAGACTCATAGTGTCTGCCCTGGGCCAGGAACTCTGCCTGACCTCCCAGATGAGGTGTGTGTCTAGAACCTTTTCTTGGGGAAGGGAAGGAGAGGGCTGGGGTGTGGGGTAGCCTGGACGTGAAAAAGAACTTCTCTCTGGCTGTAACATTTGACCCCACTTTCTCAGGGTCTGTACGTGCCAGAGAGTACCTAGCACTTTGTGCACATTAGCTTATCTGGTGCTCACAAAAATCTCCGAGATGGGCATCACAGTTTCCATTTCCAGACATCGCGTCAAAAGCCAAACCCAAGCCTGTCTGCACCAGAGCCTATGCCCTTAACACAGACTGGTTAATATAAATCTGATGGGTTTGTTTTGCTTTATTTTGAGATGGAGTCTCACTCTATTGCCCAGGCTGGAGTCCAGTGGCATGGTCTTGGCTCACTGCAACCTCCACCTCCCGGGTTCAAGTGATTCTCCTGTCTCAGCCTCCAGAGTAGCTGGAATTACAGGCATGTGCCACCATGCCTGGCTAATTTTTGTATTTTTAGTAGGTTTAACCATGTTGGCCAGGCTGGTCTTCCAGTGACCCACCTGCCTTGGTCTCCCAAAGTGCTGGGATTATAGGCTACTGCACTCAGCCTAAACCTGATGTTTTTAATCCTCTGGTATTTTCTTGGTTTCCTCTCATCTTGTTTTCTTTTTGATAAAGTCTAATGTCAAATTCATAGCATCGCTGTGACGCTAAATGAGGTAATCTATCGAGGACCTAGCCCAGCCACCTGGGACATAGAAGGCATTTGTCAATGGTGGGTGCCATCACTCTCTGTTCTCCTGAAAATGCATGCTGTTTTGTCTCCATTGTGCTAAGGAGGACAAGGTGGGTGGGTTCTGGCTTTGGTCATGGGTCGGCCTGAGTTTTAAAGGGAAAGGACCAAGAGGGAGGCATTGGGAGGTGACATGCTGGAGCTGAAGGCAGAGCTGTCCGTCCTGCACCTGCTGCCACCTCTCCCCTTTGCTTCTCTGGACTTTCTTCCATGGTAGTGGCATTGGGAAGGGAGGCTGTCCTTTCACAAAGTACACAAGCTCTTCTCTGACTTCCAGGCCCTTTTGAAAGCTTGGCCAGAGAAACCTGGAGGCTGGGAGGAGTCTCAGCCTAAGCTTGGACCCAGGGCCGGGTTCTTCCCAGACAGCGCCTGGATTTACCCTCATTTCTTCCTGTCCCAGCCAGTCTGGAGAGCACATGCCCTGGGCCTCCTGCAAGCCTGTGACACCCCAGCCTGTCAGGGACTTGGTGGCGGCAGGGCTGCCAGGGGTCTTCAGAGCTGGCACCAGACAGGAGGGTCTGTGAGGAGACCAGTTAGAAATGTCACAGTGCCTTTTAGCTGGGTCTGGGAAAGACAGAAGGATCTGGGATCTCTCCTCCTCTCTCCTCTTCCCTCCCCCCTCCCTCCCTCCTTCCCTCCTTCTCTCCTTCCTTCCTGCTCTCCTTTCCTCCTTCCCTTCCTTTCCTTCCTTCACATCCTTCCCTTCCTCCCTTCCTTCCTCCAGCATTTGTTGGGTGCTTATCAGGTATCCATGTGTGGGCCATCTAAGGATATGGCCCAGCCCTCAGGAGCTCACAATCTAACAAGCTTAACAAGAAGGCTGACACTCCCAGACACACGGACTCTTTCTCTGCCCCATGAGGAGGGCACATTTTTCAAGGAAAGAGGGTGGAAGTGTACAGAGGTGTTCCTAAGGTGTCATGTAGATGAAATTACTCATGCCTCCCTGCTGCAGGGGGCAGATAGCATGCCAGAGTATCACTGAGGGAATGGAAGGACTCAGGAATTCCCCTACGTGTCTCTGTCCATAGGTGTGGGTTCAGCATTAAGGGGCCAGGGCGGGACAAGCTAGAAGGCGTGCTGGTGGTGGGCGGTGCGTAGGGAAGGACAGGCGGGTGGTGGGGTGGGGTGGTAGGCAGCCTCCCTCCTTCCTGTTCCTTACCTTGGCAGTGTCCTTTCCTGACCATGATGTAGCCCTGATCACACTCGCAGTGGTAGGAGCCCTCGGTGTTGGTGCACTGCCCCCCGCTGCACACCCCTGGCTGCTCGCATTCATTGATATCTGTGAACACACAGAAAAGCCCTGAGTCACAGCCAGCCCTGGAGGACGGTGGAGGGGGCGGGGTCCTGGAGCATGCCTTCCAGAGGCCAAGGACAAAGGATGCCACTCTGAGGCCTGGAGTGTGGGGGGAAGGCATCCTTGCTGCAGCCACAGTTGGCTGGAGAGGCTCCTGGGGCAGGTCTGGGACTGATTTAGCTCAGGCCCCTGCTAGCCCTGAGTTTCTTCCTCTCAGGGGAGGCTACTTTGGGGGCCCATGGGGATCCTTACAGCAGTTTTCTCACCCTCATGCAAGGACTGGTCTGGAGGTGGGGCAGCAGTCCACATGGCATGACCTGCGGAGGCCAACAGGACTCCCACCTGCTCCTGGCCCTGCTACATCCCCCTTGGGTCTGCTCCTGGAGTCCTTCCCTTTTATTTTATTTATTTATTTATTTATTTATTTTTGGAGACAGAGTTTTGCTCTTGTTGCCCAGGCTGGAGTGCAATGGCACAATCTTGGCTCACCGTAACCTCTGCTTCCCGGGTTCAAGTGATTCTCCTGCCTTAGCCTCCTGAGTAGCTGGGATTACAGGTGCCCACCACCATGCCTGGCTAATTCTTTGTATTTTTAGTAGAGACAGGGTTTTACTATATTGGCCAAACTGGTCTTAATCTGCTGACCTCAAGTGATCCACCCGCCTTGACCTCCCAAAGCGTTGGGATGACAGGTGTGAGCCACTGTGCCCGGCCTCTTGGAGTCCTTCCTAAGGACCTTCTTAAAGGTTAGGAACCAAACAGCCAGTGAGGGATTGCATTTTAGGCAGCCACGGATCTGTAAAGTGTGGTTTCTGTCGTTTTGGTGTCCCGTGATGCCTGTCACGCCCAACCACACTCATGCCACTCCCATGCTTAAACTCCTGCCAGAGACCCCCGCTACCTCTGGTCCTGCTTGCAGCCTGGCTCACAAGTCCTTTGCCACCTGGCCCAGCTCTGCTGCATTTGCTAATTCACACATGTCCCTTGGTATAGCCTCAGCTATTATGGATTTCAGTGGTCCAGCCTCCAAGCCTTTGTTCACACAAATACTTCTACTTGAAGTCTCTTTCCTCAAGATGGCCAGCAAATCCCTGCCCCCATTTCAAGGACTGATTTAATGTATCACCTCTGGGTCTTGTGAGTCCCCATTCCCTGTCCCCATAGTTAAATCAATCAAGGCCTCACCTTCCCACTCTCCCCCTTAAACTGGGACCGATACAGACACATCACAGAGTCTTTGTGCAGATTAAATATGATAATCCAGGTAAGGTGTTGAGCACCATGCCCGCCTGGCATAAGGTAACACTGCAGAAATGTTAGCTATTATTATCCTAGTGTTAAACCCCATCAAATCCAGGCTCCTCAGCCTGGCATGTGAGATCTTGCATGAGCGGACCCAGACTGTGTCTCATCTGTTTCCTGCCGCTCACACCTCTCCCACCCTCACCACACAGGACCTGTTCCTGAGCCTCTGCCCATGCTGTCCCCTTGCCTGGAGCAGCTTCCTGCCCACCAGTGTGACTGCCTCCCACTCATCCCCAACCCAGCATTCCGTGAGGGCTCAGCTTTCAGTGTACCTGTAGCTCTCCTTGACTGCTGGGAACATGCCTTATTACCTCAGCACCACCAGTGCCCAGCACAGAACCCCAATTAGTGCTTCCTGAAGGAATTGAATCAGAATCATTTGTTCACGGACAGTGTCTTCATTTGAGCAATGCTTCATAAAACTCCAGTGCACAGCAAAGTCACAGCCAGAAGGTGGGAAACACACGATTCCCAGAATCCCTGGGTCAGCCAGAGATTCTGACCCAGACATACTGGTGGGCCCAGGAACCCACATTGTTATAACTCTTCAGGCAATTCTGGAATAACTGGTGTTCGCTGTGAGAAGCTCTAAACCCAATGGAAGAGAAAAGGGAACTCATAGACAGAGCCATGTGTGGGAATGGATGAAGAACTCGTTAACCCCTGAGGCTGGGACGACTGTCCGATCGATGGTTTGGAAAACTCCCTGGCTCCATGGAGAAAAATGGAGATGTGAATAGCTAAAGGCCAGGTTCTTAACAGCCATACAAAGGTGGACTCCAGATGAATCAAAGCATACAATAAAAGGGAAAACTAGAACTCAAGGTACAGGAGAATATCTTTATGACTTTGGGTTATGGAAAGATTTCTTAAATAAAGCCCCCAAAACACACAAAAATAAGGCAAAATGGTGAATCTCAATACATCAAAATTAAGAATTTCTGTTCCAAGAAATGTAGATAAGCTTAAAGGATAGAGGACAAAATGGGAGCGTTGCAATTTCTAAATCCAGCCAAGAATCTAGAATCTACAATGGACTCCTAAAGAGCCCCAGGAAAAAGCAGCCACCACCATTGGAAAACTGAGCAGAACTGGGACCCAGCAGTTTATAGATGAGGAAACCCACAGGCCAATGGACGAAGACATGCTTACATTTATTGGTAAACATTTACCTAGATATTTAATATGCAAACAATGTATCTTATTTATATTAACTTATATAATATAAATTATAGTGGTTTATATTAATTATATAAATTATCTAAATAATCAATCAATATAAATATTAAATCATTGAAGTAATGAGATATTACTGTGTGAGACTGGCAAACTTTAGAAAGTGGGTGTTGTTTGGGACAAAGCCTCTTCAAGTGGCAGCCAAGCCCCACTACAAGTACTTACAACCAATCTTGAGCCCCACCCCTTGTCCCCCAGCTGCTGGGGCTGGCAGAGACATCTTGGACACCCCGGCTGGCCCCTGGCAGAAACCCATGTCTGGGCCAGTCCTGGTGATCCCATTCCCTGCAGCAGCTACTGCTCATCCCAGTCCAACTCCCCAGGCTGGGTCTGCAAAGAGCAGTGCCTCTGGCCCACAACACCCACCTGGATCCCTGGAGCCCAGAGAAGCCCCTTCCCTCAGCCTCTGTCCTGGCTCCTCCAGGCTATTCTGAGCCCTGCTGCTTGAGTCAGCTCCCTGGAAGTCAGCTGACCCAGTCACCACCGTTCTGCTTACAGACTTCTACTGGCTGCCCCTGCCTGTGAGACAGTATCCAAACACTTGAGCCTGGCACTCGAGACGTTTCCCACACTGGCCTCTTCCTCTACGTAGCCCTGCTCCAGTCACACTGTATTCATCATTATTCCCAGAGCATGCCAGGGAACGTTCACTACTTAGGTTTCTGCAGAGACACTTCCCTCTACTTGGAATACCTGCTGCTCCCTCCATTCCTGTTCATGCTCCATGGTAGTGTCCAACACCCTGCGGGTAAGGGAATGTGTCTTTGGAAGCAAACTATGCTTTGGAGCCAGGGTGATTTGATTCTTTTTCTAGCTTTCACAACTAGGTATGAGGCCCCTGGGTATTTCAGTTCACCTCTAAGCCTCAGTTTGCTAAACTGTTAAATGGGGCTAAGGATTTCTACAACATGGAGTTGGGATGATGAACTTCATGTAACTAAGTGCTTGGAACAGTGCCGACATATAAGAAGTGTTCATTAAATGGTAGCTATTCTTATTCTGCTCCAGCTCGAGCACCCAAATAATCTCATACAGAACCACTTGCCTCCTCATCTGCATCCCACCGTGTCACCATTCATACCTCACTTATCTCAGCATCCTCAGAGCTTGGCACAGTGCCTGTCACATAGGCACCCAACTCATGAGAGTGCAATGAGTGCCACCATGATTCTCCCGCTCTACTGTTAAGGTAGGTGGTCTGCCCCTTCTACTTCCCGTCCATCCATAATCAAGTGAGAGGACCTGGATGGTTTTGCTTTCTGTACACTGGACCCCTGGGGCATTGGAACCCAAGGGGATCCTGGCAGCAGGAGGATACACAGCTTCCCTGGACTCCCTGGGGGTCTGACCAGAACCAGCAATGTGAGCCCCAAGCACTTGCAGGGCCCCTGTTGAGGTGAAGGATTTACAACTGGGTTATGAATCTTAGGGTGCTGCTTAGAAAGCACCGCATTAGGCTGGGCGTGGTGGCTCACGCCTGTAAATCCCAGCACTCTGGGAGGCTGGCAAGGTGGGCCAGTCACAAGGTAGAGATGGAGACCATTCTGGCCAACATGGTGAAAACCCATCTTTACTAAAAATACAAAAATTAGCTGGGTGTGGTGGCGGGCACCTGTAACCCCAGCTACTTGGGAGGCTGAGGCAAGAGAATTACTTGAACCTGAGAGGTGGAGGTTGCAGTGAGCTGAGATGGCGCCACTGCACTATAGCCTGGCAACAGAGTGAGACTCCATCTCAAAAAGAAAGAAAGAGAGAGAGAGAAGGAAGGTAGGAAGGAAGGAAGGAAGGAAGGAAGGAAGGAAGGAAGGAAGGAAGGAAGGAAGGGAGGGAGGGAGGAAGGAAGAAAGGAAGGAAGGAAGGAAGGAAGGCAGGCAGGAAGGAAGGAAGGAAGGAAGACAGGCAGGCAAGCAAGCACTGCTGCATTATATTATTTGTGAACTTAATCATAAAAATATATGTGGAAAAAATGTATGGGGAGTGTTTTGCATCATTAAAGGGTTTGCGTTGGAAGCGTATTTATCCAGGGTCCCCTGGCAGTGGGCCACATCTTCCCAGGGAAATTCAAAGCCCTATGAGTGTCTCCAAGCTGCTGGGAACCTGTGCTCCTCATTCAAAGGCACACCTACTCCCTGGTTTGCCAATAGCCCCAGCCTGGTGCCCTCATGGGTCTCTCTCCTTCCCTAAAATGAAAGCAGCTCCTTGTCACTCAGAGTTTGGGGGGCCTGGTGATTAGTCCTCATCTCCAGGCATGTCTCCTGACCCTGTGACACTCTTGCCTCCACCTACAATGCCTTAGGGCCTTTGCAGAGATTGCTGGCTTTTGGATTTCTACCCCTCCTTGCCACTGGTATAGGGTTAGCTTCCTCCCAGATCCAGGCCCGAGTTCTGTTCTCTCCTCCCTCAGCTGCCCACTCCCCATTCTGCAGCACAGTGTTTGGGGGTGTGAACTCCTGGTTCCTCTTCCACCCCTTGAGACTGTGGGGTATGGCCAAGGGCAAGGGCAAGCTTGGCTTACCTTGACACTCCTGCGTGGCCCCCGAGGTGGCCAGCGTATAGCCAGGGTAGCAGAAGCAGGAGTAGGAACCCACGCGGTTGATGCAGCGCCCTTTCCCCTTGCAGGGGTCCCTCAGACACTCGTTGTCATCTGACCAGAGGAGGCAGGAAGGCAGGTCAAGGGGGCCAGCGGTGCCATTCTTTGGGCACCTGCCAGCAACCTGCCCACATTAAGGACAGGGCGGGGGGTGGTGCTGTGTGGCAAGGAAGGGGTGAGGGAGTGGGAGAGGCTGAGGAGATGAAAATCTCTAAGGCTGGAAGCCATAAAGTTAGCCCATAGGGCCCACTCAGGCACCAGAAGCCTGGGGTGACTGCCAGCCCTTCCTCTCTGCCCCTTGTCTCCTTCCTCCAGTAGCCTCATGATTCCTTTCTCCTCTGAAACCACAGTAGGTGTTTCTCCCTTATTTGAACATAGTGAAGGGAGGAAGAATGAGGTCCACAGGTGATGGTTTATCTTAGCCTCAGATCTACCCCCAGGGATGACCCTGGTGGAGACGTTTGCAATTAGGGCAGACCTTGGTCCACTCTGCAGGCAGTAGAATGGCCAATTTGAGGAGTGGGCTGATCTCAGTGCAGAAGGCTTCCAGGTGCAGGTCAGGGTGTATGCAATGGGGTGGCTTCCATGCTCCTGGAGTCCTAGAGACTCATCATATGGGGCTCACTGAGAGTGGTCTTCCCCTGAAGGTTAACATTAGCTTTGTCCACAGGAACTGCACTCCTCCTAAACTCACTGACCACCCAGCACTGCAAGGACCTTCTGCTTCTTCCTGGACTCTCAACTCAGCCTCCTAGCCCCTGCTCCCATCTACCCCAGCTGCCAAGTAAGCCCAGGGCACCCAAGTGAATACCAGTACAGTAGGCCTGGCTGGGGTGCAGCCGGTAGCCAGGGCTGCAGACACATCTGTATCCATCTGGGAGGTTCACACAGGTTCCAGGGCCACAGATGTTGGTGTCTCCAGTAGCACATCTGTCAATGTCTGTGGGAGACAGAGCAAAGCAGAGGTTATGGCAGGATGGGTGCTGGACAGTGGGGTGTGGTGGGGAGAGTCAGTGGCCAGGGTCTAGGGGCCTCAGAAGACCAACCTTAGCCAGGCCATCCCTGCCATACCCATGCACAGTTTAGCCTTGCATAAGACCCCAGAGGACCTCTGCCCGGGACCCTGAGCCCTACCCAGGATGGAGCTCAAGGTAGGGCATTCTTCTCACTGAGATCTAATAGGTCACCCATATGTCTAGCAAAAACCCTCCAACCTGGCCCCACCCCAAAAATGGGCCCAACTCCTACCCAGTGCCCAGTGCCATCCCTCCCTGTAACTCCTGCCCAGTTTTCCCTGGACAGATGGACAGATCTGGTGAGTAAGGTGCATGGGGAAAACCACAGGTGAAATGGGAGAGGTGGGCTGGGGTCCACTGAGTAAGCCTTGAATGCCACATTGAGACTGGCCTGTAACAGGGGGTTGGTGAAACGGGGGAGTGGGTCAGAGCAGTCTTAGAAAGGCCACTCAGGCACTGAGATGATGGATGAACTGATATGGGAGGGATAGTGGGCCCTTAAAACCTGTTGAATAATTTAAATGAGGGTCTGCCTTGGGTAGTGGTGATGGGGTGAAAAGTGGAGAGACAGGTGCAGAATTGAGAAACAATTTGGAGGCAGACTCACCAGGAGTCTGTGTAGACAGCAAACTCTAGCTTTCTGAAAAGTATCCCTAATACTAGAAAAGTACCTGGCACTTAGAACATGCCAAATGAATGAATGAATGAATGATGAATGAATGAATGAATGAATGATGCCTTCTGCCTTTGTGTCCAACCTAAAGTCTCTGACTGAAGCCCACATGCTCAGGGGTCTCTGCCCTGCCCCCACAGCTCAGGAGAACCTGAAGGCCCAAGGGAATGGGGTGGGAAGTAGTCTGTATGTGGGTATACAGTGGGGCTTAGTCTGCCAAATTGTACTGAATTGAATGTGTACCCAAGGTTACCCTCTCCCTGGGCCTGGCTCCAAGTTTGTGTCCACCTGGGGGGTGGTAGGGGCCCTCAGCTTGGTCTTAAATGTCTGCCCAGAGGGATGGGGTTACAGAATGGCAGAGGAGAAGGGGGATAGGGCAAAAGGCTGAGGCTGGTGGTGATGGTAAGGACACTCACCCACATGTCAAGAGCTGCTGCTGAGCTTGGCCTGCCCCCTGCCCCCTGCCTCCTGATTCCCATCCCTTCCTCCACACCCATTTTCCTTGTTAGAAACTCAGCACTCCTCCATGCACTCTGCCTGCTGAGCAGAGGACAGAAGAGGACGCTCCCTGGAACAGCACTTTAAGCCCAGAGGATAGAGGTCCTGAGAGGTCAGTGGGGTACACCTGGGAAGGCTGAACCTCTGCTCCCCACTCTCTGGACTTTCTCCCAGGCTGCAGGGGCTTTCCCTCTGCTGGAAGAAATTTAGAACCCCACCTCTACCCTCACCCCCGACCCAAGGTGACTTGGGTTTCTGGATCCAGTCTTGAGGTTAAAGGAGGAGGAGTCCCCAGAATGGGCACACACGTGTGCAGGGAACAGCGGCGACAACACCCGCCTTGCTTCTCCGGCACCAAGTACCCAGACAATAAGCCTTTAAGGAGGGCACATTCCAGAGCAAGGTGGATTTGCCAGGATTGCCTCCACACCCGCCCCTCACTCCCATCACTGTAGCTGACCAGAGGGAGAGGAATGCAGGCTTGGTTAAACAACCTTGAGAAATAGAGCCATGTTTCTTCCCGAAAATCAGCCCTTCCCGTGGGCAGGCAGCTGCTTGCTGCCAAGACACTCTGCTGACTCAGGGGAGGTGTGGCCTGGAAGAGCCAGGACCCCAGCGGACCACACTCTCCATGTTCCCCTTCTTCAAAAGGGACCCCCAGATTCTCCTGGAAGACCCTGGCTTCCCTCTTCCATGGTGTCCCTTCTCTTCCCACTTCTGGGCTTGGACAGTGCTCAGACAGGGCTCTCGTTTTCACTAGAGGGACCCTGTGCTCTTTGTAAGATGAGGCTAGGGGTGCAGAGCGTGGCTGGGACCCTGCTGGAGACTTCACTTCGTTGGAAAGGCCAGGGAGCATTCCACTCATGCCCCCACCCTGGAGTTGGCTCTGGACAGCCACAGCTCTCAGGGCAGGGCGCAGGGAGCCCCAAAGGGCTGGCTGCAGCTACCTGGGGTGCTCAGGGTCACCAGCACATTGGTGGAGGGGGTCACTTGTTCTTCTTGTATCTCTGGAATTCCCTGTTCAGGCATTGGTGGGGTTGTGGCATCCCCTGCGGAGGAGAGAGGGGAAGAGGTGGGTCAGCCCCTTGGCCGACCGTAGCCCCTCCCTTTTCCCTGCTGCTCAGACTCCCAAGGACGAAGGGTAAAGCCTGGGTGGGTCACTCCCATGCCTTCCAGTCTCTTGAAACTTAATCTGGCCACACTTAGAGAATCTCAGAGCTCTCACAGGCCTTGGAGGACATCCAGCCCAATCCTCCATTTCAGGGACAGGAGACTGAGGCTTACAGAAATGGCTACTTGTCTAAGGCCAGCCAGCTTGTTGGAGGCACAGCTGACACCTGGGTCTCCTGATTTGCACTCCAACATTCTTTCCCTTCTGCTGACAAAGCATTTCACCGCTTACAGAGCTCTGCCACAAATACCAACATCTTATTTGCCTTGAGATGCCGCAAGACAGGCATCAGTGTCTTCTGTTTTACAGGAACCATGAGCTCAGCCTTCCAAGGTCTGAACCCAACACCAGTGACAGGCAAGTAGCGGTTTTAGGAGGTAAGACAAAGCCTCCTGGGGGAAGGAGTCTAGCAACCCAGCCGACCATCTGTTTCAGCTAGTGCTGTCTCTTTGTTCTGATTTATGTACCAAGTGGTGCCATGAAATCCACAAAGAGTTCTGTGGCTAGAAAATGATCTGTGATGGCCTGGCATGGTGGCTCACACCTGTAATCCCAGCACTTTGGGAGGCTGAGGCAGGTGGATCACCTGAGGTCAGGAGTTCAAGACTAGCCTGACCAATATGGTAAAACCCCGTTTCTACTCAAAATACAAAAATTAGCCAGGCGTGGTGGTACATGCTTGTAGTCCCAGCTACTGGGGAGGCTGAAACAGGCTAAGAATTGCTTGAACCTGGGAAACAGAGGTTGCAATGAGTTAAGATCATACTACTACACTCCAGCCTAGGCGACAGAGTGAGACTCCATAGAGTCTCCATAGAGTGAGACTCTTCCCTGGAGTGAGACTCCATAGAAAACTATCTGTGAAGCATCATGGAGTCTCTCACTGACCTCACCTTAGGTGTATAGAGAGCTCCCAGAAATATCACTCACAGGCCACATCCTTCTCACCCTCCTCTGATTTGTGTGAGCGTGGACCAGCTCACACATGGTAACTCTGCTCCTGATTAAGGACTCTCTTTCCCTCCCTTCTCTTTTGCTGGGAGCCACTAAGAAGAAGGACTCACCTGGGACCCAGGCAGGTGCAGGAGTGACACTGGTCATGACCTGCACAGAAACAGGAGAGGGTCACTTTTGGCTCCTCTGTCATCCCTGCGATGTGCTGCCTTCCACCACACTCACCCCCACCTCCAGGCTTCCTACCAGCTGGCTCGTTCACTTTTTCATTCCTTCCTGATATTGATGAGTTCTTACTCTATGCTGGGTATTCTGCCAGGTGCTTTATACCACTCACTTCATTCATCTTCTCAACTATCTTATGATGGGAGGTTGAAATGAGCTGATGTGTATACTATGCCAGCTCAGTTATGGGTACATGGTGGAAAATTAGCAAGTTTGGTGTCAGCTATAACCCCGAATCTCAACACAGTCACAGAAGCTCTGGAGGTTCACTAGAGTGCCTGGAGCCACAGGGCCAGTGTGGAGAAGCTGGGACTGCAGGCTATACCTGGTGTCCCCCAACACAGCTGGTGGACAGAGGTGGCTGAGAGGTGGGGACACAACAGGAGGAGAGTGGACAGAGGGTGAAAACGGCCCTGGAGCCTGGCTGCATCCGTGGGGACCGGGGTTAGAGCTTTGGCCTGGGAGGACATCACATGGGAGCCCAGGGAGAGAACAAGACCCCTTGGAGAAACTGTATTTGGGGACAGTCAGCAATGCAATTTGGAGGGTCGGGGAAAAGAGTTGGGACTAAGGCTGATAAAGGAAGAAACAGATCTCCTCTTCTGGATTGTTTTCCTAAGAGGACGCCCAGTTTTTCCCAGGGGAATCTTGGGAACAGGGAAGGGAGTTGGATGCACCTTTCTCAGTGAGGTGGTTTGAGGCTGTTCACAGCTGTGCCTGACTTCCCTGTACACCACTCCCAGAGGAGACCTGAGGTCCAACTAAACCGATGCAGAAAGTACCAGACCCAGAATGAACTGAAATCAGCTCTACACCCCATCTGCAGTGCTTAAATCTTGATCAATGGCCAGGACTAACAGAACATGTTCCCACTTCCTTTCGGAAGGGGCCTCAGCCCATCCCAAATGGGAAACTGCTTGCACAGGGGCTGCTCCATCAACAGGAGCTGCTGCTATCACTTCATTTAGGGTAAAACTGGGTCTTTGGAGCAATCCTCCCACTTGGTCATCTCTTCAAGTAAAATCCGACAGATACTCCATCTTTCTCCCTCTCACTGTCCTGGGGCCTGAGCTGCTACCAGGTCCTTGTCTCTGCCATGCTTGCCCGGCTCCCTAGTGAGAGGACTCACTCACCTGGCCAGCCTGAGAGTCACCTGCAAGGGAAAGGTGAGGGCGTTAGCTCAGGGAGGAGGGTCGGGCTGCCTTCTCCCCTCACCACCACTTGGGTGGCTTCACAGCCTGCACCCAGACCACATCCCCGGCAGGGCCAGCAGCACAGAGAGCGTGGACTCTTCTACCTGCCTCTGCCTGTCACCCCTGCAGGGACAAGCCACCACAGAATCCCAGAACCCCAGGTCTGGAGGGCCTGAAGATAGCTCAGCGCAGTCTCTCACTTGGTAAGTGGAAGCCCCTGCTTTCCTGTAAGGCCTCCGGTGACAGGAGTCCCACCTGCTCCTGGGCCTGTCCACCCCATCCATCCTGGAGCCACCTCCTTGCACTGCTACTTCCTCCCTCCCATGCCTCCCAGCCTGGCTGGGTAATGCTGCCCCCTGCCCCGGGCTCTGGGCCAGGGGAACAGTTTGAGGAAGGAGTGGAGTTGCTCCTGGCTTGGCCAGTGTCCTGTGTCCACGGCACTGGGACTCTGTCCTCACTTCACTGTCTAGTCCAGATTCCTGGAACAATGTGAGCAATCACATAGTTTTCCTGGCCTTATGATGCTCCAGGCCTCCTGCACTCAGTGTTACCAGTCACTTGAGCATGACTTCTCTATAGCTTTCAGGGCACTTGCAAGGAGAGCCTCATACCCCGCCTCCCTCCAGCCCCGTGCCTCTGGAGCCCAGTGTCGCCGGGCTGAGTTAGCACTCTGACTCTAAGGCCAGGGCCAGGGGTCTAGCATGCAGGTCCCCAGGACCCGCCTGCCAGCTGTTCAGACCTGCAGCAAGCACCGGCCCCAGAAGCTGCATGGCCAGAGGGCAGGAGACAGAGAGGCCTGATTGCTGGGGTCGGGGCTATGGCTGACCTTTCCCACCTCCACACGAAACTCCCTGGGGCATGAGTGCCTCCTGACCTCATATGGGAGAGGAAGTAGGTGGGGACCTGCAGTTGTACCAGGCCATGAGAGAAGGCTGCCAGGGCTGGGTGCTGCTGCTCCAAACTCCCTTTCCTAATGCCCCAGAGATGGGATGCCCAGGGAACCAGGATAAATGCCCACCGTTTTCTGAGGTGCTGGAAACTTAAGGGAAAGGGGAATCCCTCAGGCATCTCCCCCAGTTCAGATACCCTTGTCAGGGATGGTCCTGGCCTCGAGCCAGGTGTCCGTGATGACTCGGAGCGGCTGTCTGTCTGCTGGGCTGGTCAGTGCCCCGCTGCTCCTCTGCCCTTGCTCCCTTGGGGGCCTGGCCAGCTCCTCCTCTTCAGCTTTCCTCATGGACAAGCGGATGTCAGAGCTCGCGTAGGTGTAGCCGTGGCCGGCAGGGCAGATCTCTCTGAAGGCCTCTGCAAAGCCAACAGCCAGAGAACAAGCTGAGAGGTGCTGTTCCTGCAGGAAACCAGGGCCCTCCTTTCCCTCTGGGAGACAAGGCAATTGTGGGAGCAAAGAGGAAGGGAGCCCCAAGTTGGGATAAGCAGGTAAGCAGGCAGGGAAGACTATTTCAGTCTTCCAGCTTGAGGGAGGTCTACCCAGGCCAGCAACGTAGTCACTGTGAGTGAGTCCTCTCACTAGGGAGCCGGTGAGTGAGTCCTCTCACTAGGGAGCCGGGCAAGCATGGCAGAGACAAGGACCTGGTAGCAGCTCAGGCCCCAGGACAGTGAGAGGGAGAAAGATGGAGTATCTGCCTTGAGGGAGTGAAAGCCCGGATGGAGATGGGGGTTACCTGTGCCAGGCAGAGGGCATTTCTCACACTCGCTGCCCCATGCTTTGCCCACGCGGCTGCAGCAGCATATCTGCTTGGTGATCTGCTGGGCCAAAGGCAGGGTGCAGGCGCCAGGCCCCAGCGACCGGTAGCACAGTCCCTGCAGCATGGAGATAGCCTTGTCCGCTGCAACAGACACAGCACGTGGAGGTAGGCAGGTGGCCAGTGGAAGGGAATGCGCAGCTTGGAGGGCAGTGGATGGAGGTGTGGCTGGCCACATGCACTCAGCCTGGCCTGGCCCGTATCTCTCATGATGTTTGGAGCCCTGTAAATCCTCACAAGAACTTTAGGAGGAAGAGGCAGAGTAGAATGTCTCAGAACCTGCGAATGTCATGTGCTGAATGAGACCCGTGACTCCCCAGCTGCATGAGGAGGAGTCACCTGAGAGCAGGAAATGAGGATGCAGCTGCTTGTCTAAGGTGCTGAGTTTAGAAGTGTTTACTGAAGGCCCCACATGTGCCTGGGGTTGAGCAGGAAGCAGTACATCCTGAGGACCACAGTCTTCCAGAATATGAGACAAGGTAAGGAACAAAGGCTCGATGGGGAGCTCGAAGGACAGGGACTCTTATCTTGGTCATCTCTGGCACCCAGGCACCTTCCATAGTGTCTGGTGCATGCAGATGCTCAGTAATGCTTGTCGAATCTACGGATGGATGGCTAGATCAACCAGCCAATCAAAATACTGAGGGTAACTGAGTTTGAACTACACTGGGCTTAGGTCATAGCAGTGCCACCACCCTTATCTCCTTTCTTGTACTTTGATAATAAATATTAAAGAATAGTTTATTTGTGTTATCTCAATGGAAGATGAGGAGGCATGCCAAGTTGGAAGTCTGGAATCCATAGAGGGTGGACTGGATTCTAAGAGGAGGAGAGGTAGGGTGAAGAGGACATCAATCAAAGTTGAGGAATGAATGATTCTGGGGAAGTCCTGGTCAGGCCCAGGATGCAGCAGACCGAGTTTGAATCCCTGCTCCGCCATGAACTATAGGACCTCCCTGGGCCTTAGCTTCTTCAAATGTAAAATGAAGATAAGAATAATCATTCCATAGCAGGGGCCCCTGTATTTCTGCCTGCCCAGAGTCTATGCGCCATATTCCGGTATAATCACCCTGGTTCTCATATGGGAACCACCAGTTTCCCACCCTTGGTCCATGTGACTGGCGTGGAGGCTGACACCTTTCTGGCTAAAGGCACGTGGTTCATACCCCAGGTTACAGTGATTGGATCAGGGATGGATACTACACTAAGGAGATCCAATGATAATCAGCATTGAGACTATTCCTGGGCATTAGGGAAAAGGGGCTCATTTTTTATTGCGTTTGCAAGGCTGAGAGGGTATAGACCTAGGGCATCTGGTGACCACCTTTGAAGGAACCATGAAACGGACACAGAGGAAACAGAAGCACACCCTGCATCATGGTGGCTGCCTGGGTCAGCCAGCCTGGGGCCACACCATGCCTGCACTGCCTAGTTGTGTGAACCAATGCTTTTTTTTTTTTTTTTTTTTAAGAAGTCTCGCTCTGTTGGCCAGGCTGCAGTGTAGTGCTGCAATCTCAGCTCACTGCAACCTCTGCCTCCTGGGCTCAAGCCATCCTCCCACCTCAGCCTTCCAAGTAGCCAGGACTACAGTTGTGTACCACCATGCCTGGCTAATTTTTAATTTTTTATAAAGACAGGCCTCTGTGTTTACAAAAGACACATGGAATGATCACTCTCGTCTTCATTTTACACATGGAGAAGCTAAGGCCCAGGGAGGTCTATAGCTCATGGTGGAGCAGGGATTTGATTTAATATTTTGTAAAGTCTCACCATGTTGCCTAGGCTGGTCTTGAACTCCTGAGCTCAACTGATGCACCTGCCTCAGCCTCCCAAAGTGCTGGGATTACAGGTGGGAGCCACCGTGCCCAGCCCCAGAGAATTCATTTTTTGCTTAAGGAAGTTTGAGTTTGGTTTCTGTCACTTGTAATCCAAAGACTCCTGATTAATAAACTTTCTTTGTGATATTGTCATAGAGATTAAATAGAGTGTGAGGTGTGTGGGAGTGGCTTGTCAAAGCTCACATGCTCACCACAGGTAAATCATCACCCAGGCTGTGAGCCCTGGATCTCCAGGTGCAATCTCTGCTTCTAGCAGCCACTTCCCTTGGGACACTGCAAGGAAGGTCTCTGTCCCTTTGAACCCCAGGGTGGAGATGACCCAGGAGGGAATATCAGGAGACTGGGGTAGCCCTGTAGACTGCACCACTGGACCCGGTCAGGTGGCAGGGAGGGAAGGAGGCAGAACTCAGAAACAAAGGGAAGAGAAACTTCGCATCATCCTCCCACCTACAGGGAGGTGACCCATTGTGGGAGGTTGGAGGGAGTAACACCAGGGACAGAGAGGGAAAAAAGGACACTCAAGAGCCATCTCTGCTTTCCTGTATTAAGGGTCTCTTTCTGGGACTAATAAATAAAAGTCACCATGGATGTCAAACACCCCTGTCTGGTGAAGGGATCATAAGTGATATGGAGTAGAAGTAAGGGCTATAAGCCTCTCGAGGCCTTGATCACCTGCCACTGCCACCACGAAGGTTTCTTGAGAGCAGCCTGACATGTCCTTCAGGTGCAATCTCTGAGCATCCCCTCCTATAGCTCTTGCTGCTTCTCTCCCTGGAGCCACTGGGTTCAGTCTCTGGGTGTCAGTGGAGTCTTGGTCAACCCCATGGCCCTCCCAGACCCAGTACCAGGAAGTTTGCAGACTGAGGGCTTGGCCGGTCACAGGGAACTCTGCTGAGCTGGGGGTGCCCATTCAACCTGGGCTGCCGCCTCCCAGAGGTCAGTTGGGACTAGTTTTATTCAGCTCTGGTCAGGCCTTCCTGCCCACAGAAAGCCCCATCTGGGCCATGGCATCAGTTCTGCCATTGGAGGGTACTGCCAACCTTGGTCTCTCCCCCTGGAAACCACAGAGTCACTGGAAACAGGCCTGCCTGGCTTATATGCACTCATATACCTGGACACAATGCTAATGCTCACTGTGTGTTCACAGATGAGGAGAAACTTCAGAACCACAAGGGACCACATGATTGTGGAAAGGCCCTGGGGTGGGGCAGCAGCTCCATGAATGCTAGGGACAGCCCTTCTGGAAAGGTCACTCAGCAGCTAAGGCTCAGCAAACATCACAGCAGAGGCCACGCCCCCCGCCCCCCCTTCCCCGCCCCCCCCAAGAAAACAAGGCTAAATGATTAGAAAGGAAAAAAAAAAATGAGAAATAGAAACGATGAATTCCAAAGTGTGAAGGTCTGGAAGAAATGCCTAGAGTAAAAAGTGAAGCAGTAACCGTCTCTGCTCCAGCAGGACGTGCTGATCCGGTTTTTCACATTGGGTCAAACTCCAGGTTGAGTAGCAGACACAGGCCCTGCACATGGGATGATGATCAGGTCTGGGGAAAATTATTGCCCTGGGCCTGGCCTGTGGATCTGAAGGGTCCCATCTTGCCTCCTAGTGTCCTCCACTCCCATCCCCGTCAGCACTCACACACACAGCGGCTCCGCGATGGATCCAGCATGAGGCCAGGTCTGCACGTGCACAGGTAGCTGCCCCTCGTGTTCACACACTCCGCGTCCTTGCACAGGCCCAGAGTCAAGCACTCGTTGATATCTGCAGGGTTGGAGGAGATGACCAAGCGCCAGCCCCACTGAGGCCTGATGCAGGGGAGGGGCTGGGCGGAGATCTTCAAATATTCTCTCCAAATAAAACAACAAAAGAGCTGCTATGCATTCAGTGTGATTCCTCTCCCTGTGCCCCAGTTTCATTTATAAAATGAGATAGTGATAGTAACAGCTGGACAGTGTTGTTAGATGGATACAGTAAGATAAAATTGCAAATCAGTGGTGTGATCTCAGCTCATCCCAGCCTCCGTCTCCCCCGTTCAAGCAATTCTTGTGCCTCAGTCTCTCGAGTAGCTGGAATTACGGGCGCTTACCACCACATCCAGCTAATTTTTGTATTTTTTGTAGACTCACATTTTCACCATGTTGCCCATGGCTGGTCTCAAACTCCTGGCCTCAAGCAATCAGCCCACTTGGGCCTCCCAAAGTGCTGGGATTACAAGTGTGAGCTGTCTCGACTGGCCTCAAGCACTAGTGTTTATTGAGCACCTATTACATGCTACCAACTCTGTTGGGTATTAACATACAATACCCCATTTAATTCTCACAAACAATTTTATCAAAGAGCCCACATGTCCTCATTTTACAGGAGAAGAAACTGAGGTCCCAGGAATAACTTGCCAAGAGTCATTCAGCTAGAGAGTGGCATATTGAGATGCAGACAGGAAACAGATCGAGGGGACAGTTTGGGTTGGAAGGTGGAGAAAGGGCAGCCAAGTCCCTCCTCTTCAGCCTTCCTCCAGAGGTCCCTGAAGAGCCCAAGACCCTGGGAGCATATCTGCAGTGAGCTGGAGGAGGGGACACCCTGGTAAGGAAAAGGAGGCAGAGGCTGGAGGAAGGCACTGAAGGGGAAGGGGACATCGGGGGTCACACCAAGGGTGTGCAGAGGTCGATGGTTAGGAGGATGCATCTCCCGGTCCTCCTGAATGCCCTGCCTTGCACAGGCTGCACACATCCCCCAAAGACCAGTGGAGGCCATGCTGTTCTTCAAATAAGAGAGGTGCACTGGTTTCCTCTGTGACCTTAAAGAGGAACCCCCCTTTTCCTGCTGCAAGCTTCTCCCTGCCAAGGGGAAGTCCCAGCCTTCACAATCTAAGCTCCGAGGAGTCGGGGCCATCTTGATGATGGCAGCAGAGATGATGAGCATGAACTGCTTGTGAGGGGCACCTGCCTCCAGGGCGGGAGACAACACAGCCCTGTGTCTGCAGAGCTACCAGTTCACTCACGGTTTGGGGAAATTGGCACTGGGCACAGGAACGAGGGGCTGAAAGGTGACCCAGCCTGGGCACCAAGGGGTACTACTCCTTGGTAGGATGGCCTATTGGGACAGAGTGCCAGTAAGATCTGGGAAGGTGCTGCTGAGAAATGGGAAGGGGTGGTGATCCATATGCCTCCAGACTGTGGCCACGGTGGGATGTGGGCCTCCAAACCAAAATCTGACTTTCTTCCCTCTGCTTAGGAAGCTTCTGGGTTCCCTGTCACTTCTTAGAGGGAGCCCCCAAACCCTAACATGGTATTCAAGGCCCTCCGCCATTTCCCCAAAGTCTGTGGGTAAACAGTTGGCTCTGATGAGATGCTGGCTGTGGTATCTCCCATGTGTACACAGGCCACATACACAGAGCTTTCTGGGACACTCCAGACAGCACAAACTGTTCCTTTGCTTCTGGTGTTCACATTGCCTGGAGAGCTTGTATCCCCTTAGTTGGCCAATGTGTACTCATTTTTAAAGTCTTGGCTTAGGTATCACCTCTTCCAGGAAGCTTTTCCTGATCCTCCTAGTCTGGGAAGGGACCCCCACCGTGGGATCCTGTAGCACTCAGTGACTGCTGCTTCCTCTCAAGAACACTCTGCTCATTATATGTGATTGTTCAGGGGTCTGTCTTCACGTGGGGCAGGACTGTGTCTTCTCCATCACTGTGCACTCAGCACCTAGCACAGTGTATGTAGCCCATATAACCTCCCCTCTAATACTCTGTGGAAGTAGGAGGGAAGGATGGAGAGAGAGGAGGGATGATGCGTGTGGATGCAGAGCAAGCAGGTCCCTTCGCAGACACAGAGACCACAGCCACAGACGTGGGAAGGGGAGGTTTCAGGGACAGGGCCTCCTGGGGGGATGGTCTTTTGGTGTCTTGAATCCTGGGGCTCAGAGGAGAAAGGGCAGAGAGCCCATTTGAGATCCTGAGAATGACCTTAAAGCTCTAGACTGGGAAACCTACCAGGAGGAAAAGCTGCTGGTGACAGTTTAGATATGAACAGCCCCGCTGTGCCCTCCAAGGGCAAAAATACATACTTGTCCCCACATCCACTGTCTGCTTGGCCCTCAGACCACTGCCTCCTGAGGGAGTGTGACCCTGGATGAGGCTGGGCCAGAGGCCCGCCCTTTTGCTTCGCCCAAGCACCTTTGCTGATCCACAGGCTAGGAATTACTTCTGCAGCCTGGCACCCCCCAGGGAGACAGCCCAGTCATGCAGGGCTTCCTCAGTCCTCTCTCTGAAGCAAGTTCCAGGGGAGGGTACCTTGGAGGCCATCTAGGTCAATCCCCTGTCTCTGACCCAGCGCCACCCAAGGCAAGCCATACAGACGATTATTTGTCCAGTTGTCAAAGATTCCCACAGGAAAGCCACCTTGTTCCCTGCTGGCCTCTGCCAGCCCCAGGAGTCTGTCCTTGGCAGGAAGCTCCCGTGCTCCCTGTCCCCCTTCCTGGCTGTGTGTGGAAGCAGGTGGGAGGGAGGCCTGAGTAGTTAAAGGTTCTTAGTTGGGAAAAACTCATAGAGGCCCTCCCCAACTCAGGCTGACTTGATTTTCCACCGTGGAGTTGAAATTCTTCCCATTCCAGGGAGACCAGCTCAGGAGGAAAGTAGAAGCACAGGGACTGGGGTTGCCCCTTCAGACAGCCCCGCAGAGCTCTCTGTCACTCTCAAGCAAGTCCCCGGATTTCCTTAGGCCCCTGGAACCAGTAGCTCCCCACCACTCCCCCAAGCTGGGCTTAGTGGAGACCACTTGGGCAGTGACAGACACTCCTCCTGTCTGGTGCTGGGAGTGTGCCCCGGCATCCCTGAGCCCAGCCCTGGCCCTGGGGGTCCTACCTTGGCAGTGAGTGAGGTTCAGTCTCTTGTACCCCTGAGGACACTCCAGCTGGCCATTCTCAATCAACGGGGAGGCTGAAGAGTGGAGATACGAACAGGTCTAAGTGGAGGGACCTTGGGCTCCTCTGTCACCTGTGCTAAGGGGGAGCTGGTACAGTCTGGATGTCCAGCCCACCTGGCAGCAGAGAGCCCTAGCCCCTGAAGCTGGGATTACAGGCACGCACCACCACACCCAGTTAATTTTTGTATTTTTAGTAGAGATGGGGTTTCACCATGTTGGCCAGGCTGGTCTTGAACTCTTGACCTTGTGATCTGCCAGCCTCGGCCTCCCAAAGTGCTGAGATTACAGGCATGAGCCACTGCACCTGGCCTCTACCTCGCTTTTATTAAAAGCAGTTCTAAGTGAAATAAGCCAGGCACAGAAAAACAAATGCCACATGACCTTACTTTCATATAAGAACTAAGAAAAGCAAATACATAGAAGCAGAGTAGAATGGTGGTTACCAGGGCCTGGGAAAAGGGACATACAAATGTTGATCAAGGTGTACAACATTTCAGCTAGACATGGGATGAATAAGTTCAAAAGATCTGTATAATATAATGAATATGGTTAATAAGAGTTTCTTGTATTCTTAAAAATTGCTAAGAGTAGACTTTAAGTGTTCTCATCACAGAAAATAAGTACATGAGGTAATATACATGTTAACTAGCCACTTTACAATGTCTACCTATTTCAGAACAACAGTTGTCCACGGGTTGGGCACAGTGGCTCACACCTATAATCTCAGGACTTTGGGAGGCCAAGGCAGGAGGATCACCTCAGGTCAGGGGTTCAAGACCAGCCTGGCTAACATGGTGAAACCCCATCTCTACTAAAAATATAAAAATTAGCTGGGCATGGTGGCACATGCCTGTATTCCCAGCCACTTAGGAGGCTGAGGCAGGGGAATCGCTTGAACCCAGGAAGGGGAAGTTGCAGTGAGCCGAGGTTGTGCCACTGCACTCCAGCCTGGGTGACAGAGTGCAACTCCATCTCAAAACAAGCAAACCAGTTGTGCACCACAAATATATACAATTTTTGTCAATTAAAAATTTTTTAATACTAAGAAAAATGATATATACTTCACATGTATAGTTATAACATTACATACAGTATATATTATATTATATGCAATGTTATATAACATGGATTTGATTACTTTTTGCTTTTCATTTTGAAATAATAAAAATACACAAAAGATGTCTGATTGCAGATTGACCAACAAGGAAATGATTCTCAGTATTTTATGCTGATACACATCCTGCCTTGATATCACAACATTTCCCCAGAGAGAAAAAAAACCCAAATAGTTGACATCAAATAAAAACAAGGAGAAGATGTCTATTACTTCGCAGGAACAGACTAGTGTGCCAGCCCTCCTGAAAAGCTCTAGCAGGAGGCATACTACTGATCGCCACCTCTCATCACAGGAAAAGGCAGGGGAATACCATCTTTTGTAGAACGAAAGAGAACTCAGCTATAAGTTTCACAATTTTTTTTTTTTTTTAGATGAAGCCTCACCCAGGCTAGAATGCAGTGGCGCAATCTTGGCTCATGGAACCTCCACCTCCCGGGTTCAAGCAATTCTTCTGCCCCAGCCTCCCAAGTAGCTAGGACTGCAGGTGCGTGCCACCACCCCCAGCTAATTTTTATATTTTTAGTAGAGACAGGGTTTCACCATGTTGGCCAGGCTGGTCTTGAACTCTTGACCTTGTGATCTGCCCGTCTCAGCCTCCCAAAGTGCTGGGATTACAGGCATAAGTCAATGTGCGTGGCCAAGATTCACAATATTTTTGCTTGTAGATAGCCAGCAATTCTAAGTGGGTATGAGCAATTGCCACAGCCCTTATTCCATACAAAGTTCCATAAAGATACCATGATATTTCAAAGGTCTTGTTCTGTAAAGCTAGCTGCATGATAGTTTCCTATAGCAATTTGCCTTCTATCTTTAACTCCTTTGTGGCAATAGCTTATCTCTGAATGCTGCACAGACAGCACCCTCTCTCTCTCTTACCTTATCCCAATTCCTTTTTCTCCCAGTCGTAACACCAGCAGCTACACTGTCAGAGTCATTGCTAAAGCTTATTATCATCCAGGAAGTCATTTACTGTTGAGAATATATGTTCACTGGTTCATCCTTTAGCGGTTTACAAAAAGAGTTATATATATATATTTGAGACGGAGTCTTGCTGTCACGCAGGCTGGAATGCAGTGGCACGATCTCAGCTCACTGCAAACTCCACCTCCTGGGTTCAAGTGATTCTCCTGCCTCAGCCTCCCGAGTAGCTGGGATTACAGGCACCCACCACCATGCTTTCATATATTTACTAGAGACGGGGTTTTGCCATGTTGGCCAGGCTGGTTTCAAACTCCTGATCTCAGGTGATCTGCCTGCCTCGGCCTCCCAAAGTGCTGACATTATAGGCGTGAGCCACCGCACCCAGACCTTCATACATTTTTATTGTTGAAATGAATTCTTGCAAATACCAAGAGGCGTGTTAGAAATACCTATACTTTTGTCCAATTGTACAGCAAAGTTTGAGTGTCTTGGTGGTTACCAAGAGGCATGTTAGAGATACCTATACTTTTGTCCAATTGTACAGCAAAGTTTGAGTAAACTTGGTGGTTTAAAATGTTTTCCTAATCAAGATAGCTTTTATTTCACCATTAGCTGCTCTCTCTGGGCACTTACACACTTAGCGTAAGGTTTGTTATTAGTAATGGTGATATAAATCTATGTTTCCTAGAGTCTTCTTGATCATTTGGGTCCTGGAGTACTTGGGGGTCGCATCTGATAGGCTGTCACATTTTTACCTTGTAACATGGCTGATGGCACAGTGAGACCCCCTGAGAAGTGTGAGCATTGCAGTTTTTAATGATTGCTTGTGATCAATGGACTAGTAGTAATTTGTATCCACAGTTTCTTTGCAGGAACTTGTAAGAGTCACCTCTCCATTTAGTGTGGGTTAGTTAACACCAGACCACATAACTAAAACATCCAGTAAACAGAGCACTGTCAACTGCACTGTGCTGTAATATGCCAAAGACAAATAGAAGGAGGTGCCACATTTTCTTGGAAGCCCCACTCTTCCCTGAGGACACACTGTGTGCCAAGCATGACATGTGACAGCCTGACAGAGGGAAAGACCAAGTGAGGACATACATTAGTAATGCTTAACTTTTTTAAGATTAAAAAATGTAAACCACAGTTCAAAAATGTTTTCCTGCCGGACTGGCCTGCTCCGGGTTTGCGCATTCCATGGAGGAGCCAGGGTCCAGCCTAGAAGGCCGCTCTTGTGGGGACACACGGGGATTCTGAACACACTGAGAAGGAAATGGAAAGATGGGAGTGAGGCTGGGAAACGTGCACATCCCTGGCATGGGGCCTGGTAGGATAAACTGAGGACAGAGAGGAGGGAAGAAAGAGAAGTCACATGGAGAAATTCAGAAGGCAGGCTGATTAGACGTTGCCTGTGAACATTATGAGGAGCAGAAGGTGGGAAAGAATGCTGCAAGGCTGCTGCCAGAGGGCCAAGGAAAGAGACCAAGTACACGTTTGTCCAGTGCTTTAGAGTTGCAAGGTCATGGGTGCATAGGGTCCTGTCTGTTTCTCACAACAATTACTCCCTAAGGCAGGGACCGTCACCCCCATTTTATAGATTAGGAAAGCAAGACTCAATGAGGGGTAACTTATTCAGGTAACAATGTTGCTGGAGCAGAGGTAGGGTTGAAAGCGGACCTCTGGCTGTGAAGGCCACATCCTTTCCCCTACCTTCCACCGTGCATCTCTAAGAGAGACAGAGAGATCAGGAAGAGCCAGGTGAGCCAGCAGGCCAGGAGGGAGGGAGGGAGGGAGGGAGGGAGGGGGAGAGAGAGAGAGAGAGAGAGAGAGAGAGAGAGAGATATCAGGAAGAGCTGGTGAGTCAGCAGGCCAGGATGATATCACCTCTCTAGACGTCAGGAGGGAGAAATATTGCTGGGCATGGCGGCTGAGGTGGGAGAAATTCTTTGAGCCTGGGAGGTGGAGGTTGCAGTGAGTCAAGATCATGCCTCTGCATTCCATGCTAGGTAACAGAGTGAGACCCTGTCCTAAAAATAAATAATTCAGGTTAAACCTCCTTGGGAGAAAGTGGAGGTTTAGGTGGCCATGTGGCTCAGGGTGAGCATTCAGCAGCCAGTGAGCTTGGTGACAGGTGAAGGCAGGTGGTACCTATCACTGTCCCTCTCACCCACACCAGGTGTCCTTCTTGCCATGCTCCCAACACACGTAGGCCTGCCTGAGTCACAGCACTAGCTTTTGAGCTGAAAAACTCAGTTCATGGTGCGTTGTGGCTGCCTGCTGACTTTGCCATCTCTCCACAAAGTGTAAGCTACATGAGGACAAGGACCTTTTCTTCATCACTGCTAGGTCTCTAGTGCCAAGCATGACACCTAGAGCTGTGTGGGCACTCAGCCAAAAGAGGAACAAATAAAGAGCAAACATTCAAATGGCACTATGGGCCAGGCCCTACTTTAAAGACTTTACATTAATTCAGTTAGCTAATCCTCATAACAGTCCATGGAGAGTCTTACTAATATTATTCCCATTTTATGGATGAGCACACTGAGGTTCATCCATAAAATGGATAAGGACATGAAACAAACCCAAGGTCACCCAGCTGGTGGATAGAGCTGGGATTCTGAACTCAGGCAGTCTGGCTCCAGAGGAGAAATTCTGAACCATTCTCCCTACTGCCTCCAAATAAATAAATAAATTCGTGAAAAGCCTTTGAGGTGTCCAGGCAGACATCCCTAGGGTGCAGTGGAGATACCTGCCTAGTAGAAAACCTAACACCCTTCCTAAGAAACCTCTACCCTGTTTTTAATGATGGGATCAGGAGAGGGAATAAGAAAAAAACAAAAAAGTAGGGTTACTCAGAAGGAGGTCAGAAGAACCGACCAGATGCTTGATACGTGCTCCACAATGTGCATAACCGAAGTGCCGGGCAGGACTGACAAAGGAAATGGCGTAGAGCCCGTCCTACCCCTCGTAGCT